GTGGTCGTATCATCATTTACATTAGGCCACGTGATGCAACTTAGGAGCATGCTATTATTCCACTTCTTCAGTATCATGGTCCAATCTATGAGTAGCCAATTATCACTTGGTAGCCTATTACCCTCTTAAACACCAACTACAACATTTGAAATCACCGAATGTTCAGGGCACCGGGTGTGCACCATACAGACATTGTGCTCAGTGATACAATATATTAACGGCCATTACCCTCAAACACCGGCTTGCAATCAGGACACATAACGCCTTCAGGAAGGAGCGATTTCCGGGCTAGCACGACAGACCATCATCGTGCATGAACGTGCCTTTTCCTGAACTCCAACCGAACTCTATAAACGTTATCTTCTACGATTTACGCATGATATGCGTGATGAACGACTCGACAAATTTATTGTGCAGGACACGGTTGTAAGAACTTTATATATATCAACGACACTACGAATTTATTGTGCAGGGCACGGTCGTAAGAACTATTATATTTATATACGACACTACAAATTTATTGTGCAGGGCACGGCTGTAAGAACTACTATATGTATCAATGTACTCAGTCCAGAATACGCCTAAGGATCAATCCCGGATCAATTGCGTTTATCGTATGTACACAGGGCACGCCTTAAGCGTTGGACAGCTGGTCATTATCTGGCTACTTTTGATACTGACCAGTTGATTTTTTCACTAGGTATAGGAAAATAACATTGCAACTGGTCAGTAATGTATTTTTGACCAGCAGCTCTGGAATCCTTAGGGCATACACTGTATGTACAGCCCTCGACCACCACGCTGTACGACACGCAGGAGTCTCTCAGTGATACCCCATAATGAACATTATATCCAGGCGTAAATCCATGAACAATACTAGGGCAATTCGTAATGTCCAGTGTGTATAACCAACGATCATCCAGTTATACGCCACACAGCCATCCGACAACTTACATCCTCTGCCACAACTAGTTATACGGAACTCTGACACTTACGTCGTTGTGCATTCCGAGCTCGACGCTATCCATCTGGCGAGTGACTGTCGTCCTATCCCCATTACCACACCGTTCCGGTCCAAATACTGTGTCAGCTAGGACTTTACTCATTTGCCATCATGGGTAACATATACGCAGACCACTATCCCTAGTACTGGCTATCAATTATTCCAGAACTGCTCAATGGACTATTCTAATCTGCAATTATTTCTGTTGCATCACGGGGGCTAGTTTTCCATAATAGTATTCACATACTTTACTATTGCTCAATAACAGTGTTCACATACTTTACTGTTGATCAATGATAGAGTTCACATACTTTACTGTTATTCAATAATAGTGTTCACATACTTTACTGTTGCTCAATTACAGTGTTCACATACTTTACTGTTATCTAATAATAGTGTTCACATACTTTACTGTTGCTCAATAATAGAGTTCGCATACTTTACTAATGCTCAATGATAGTGTTCACACATTTTACTGTTGCTATATATATATATATATATATCCATTGTATTTTATTTGTATATTACCAGAGGTACATGCTGTCTAATATTCCGTAAGGTTATACCATTGAATATCCCACGGGGCTTAGCTTATATAAAGATGGCTGCACCCGAGCCCAGTATTTTCTTCTGAATCCAAACCTATTAACACGCCAACTTTGTCTGGAAATTTGTTCCAATCATCTTGGCCCATGGTTTATTCAATGGAATAAAAAAATAACAACTTATTCGCAAGATGAATAAGCTGTAATTATGGAATGTCTCTAAAACTATACATCCATTTCATATATATATACTATTACCGGTCACATTCCATTTAATACCATAGGTGTCCACCTCTCTTGGGTCATCTCATGCGCTCCTTGCACACGGGGCCGTGTGCCACCAACGGGGGGGCGTATGTTATGACTCAAGGGAACAGACACAATCATAAAAAACCATAACAGTTATTTACATACATAATTAATTATTAACCCTGTACTGCCTGAACCTATGACCCTTCTTGCACTATGACATTGAATATTCATTTTACTTACCGTTGACCTAACATCTTAAACATTCATAAGGCACTGGCCATTTACAATAAAATATATAAGGAACGGGAACTGGTCTCTAGGGAGTTCTCGAGGTAGCCAGGCAGTACAGGGATCTAATCTGTATATTGATATCACATTAATTTTACAACGAAATAAAGAGATAGAAATTATTTATTGATTTAAATCCTGAGTTGGTTGATAAGTATTTCGAGTAGGAAACAAGATTGTAATCACCAAAAAGTGATTACAACACAAGTAACAAAATACAATTTTCCAAAACCCAAAACCAAACAATCAAAACAAAATCAGGCACAAGCAATAAAACACAATCAAACTGTAATACCAATTATACACAAAACAAAACAACAACTTGGGAGGAAAGCAAACATAATTTATAATGGAAGTCAGACTGTTTTCATGCTAATTACATCGTGACAAAGGCTACTCTAGGTTTGAAATGAACGAACCATTAAATAGCGTCCCCTAAAGCCTATGAAGGGGCGAGTAACATAGTATTCAATGGGTTATATTAGGTTCTGAAGAACGAACCTCTTAAATTGTGTTCCATCAGATAGTAATACAGTTTTCCTTCCCATTATACCTAGTACACAAAAACCTGTCTGAGTGAACACCCGTCTCCAGTGGACATTCTCCTTCCACACTTACTCTACCAACTTCTGAATAAATTACCCTCTCTGTAATGAACACCTTCCAACACTGAACGTCTTTTCTTGGCAAATATACACAGGTTTTACTGTTTTACTATCTTCCTTCCCATTACACTAAATAGTGGCATATCCTTCCCTCATATTATACCAAACAGTAATATAACCTTCATTCCCACTATATATTAGAATTAACTACTTATATACTCGTATATAAGTAGTTAATTCTAATATATTCATTTGAGTATTTTTGCATCTTAAATCTTCAGCAAGTTCAACGTTTAATAAAATATCAGAATCTCCATTCTTTTTTTTAGAAAATCAGGAGTGCTAGGCAATGTTGGCATGCCCTTTTCCCCAACATTACTACTATCTTCTAAGCTAATGCACCATTCAAAGATTTGTGTGAGTCCCCTCACACGGGGAGTGTCGGGAATTTGAGACAAGGTGAGTATTGTCCCTTGAGTTGGTTTTTGTCATGGTTCGGTACTCAAGACCAGGGGTAGGAACTTATGAAAACTCGTTTGGTTGCACCAAAGGTAGGCGGGATGTGATAGCCAAATTTACTTTTTATTAAAATCCCCACTCACTCCTGCATGGAAGAGGGAGGGGGGCTCACTCAAACTTTTGATACATGTAATTCAAAAAAGTCTAAATCATCCAAAAGTCCAAAAGAACATAGTTTAATTCATAAACTTAAAACAAATTAAAAAGCCTATTGTTTTAAACTTTTATTATTCAAAATAAAAATACAGTACATTCCCAATAACTACTATTTCATTCAATATTTAAAATATTGATACTGCTTTTTAACATTTTATTATTCAAAATAAAATTATACATTCCCAAAGCTATAATATTAATAATAGAATATAAACATTCATAGTTTTATAAAGCAATAGTGTGCTTTAAAATGGATCAACAATTGAACTAGTCAATAAAATTCAACCATGGCTAAATACTCTTAACCAATCAAAATAACTTATCAAACTACAATGAACAATCCCTGGGATATAACTGTACAAAATCGTCATCCATCATTTTTGTCTGATTTTTATATTTTCTGACAAGGAGGATGTGTATGTTTTCAAATTCGATACTCCGTTGCCTGCAGTGGAACAATTTGGTAAAAATATTTCCATAAGGTTCTCTTTGGACCAAGTATTTTGTTGGAAGATGGTCATAACAAATATTATGGTAATATTCAAGCTTTCTCAGCAGTTCTAGTCTTTAAAATATGAGTAATATTGTTACCAAATTGGTCAATGCTGGGCAACGGAGTTTCGAGTTTGAATAACGGCTTCTAATCCTCCTTGGTTTTCTGAAGAAAGACAATTTGTTAAATGTAATACTAAAATTGCTTATTAAGTACTTCATCAGTTCTAATGTACCCCAGGAAAAACAACAAAGACTCAATTCCCTTACTAGGTAGACAATTGATTGATTGATTGATTACAAGTTGTTTTGATTTTGTTAATTGTTAGGTATTTCAAAATCAGAGTAAAAGTCTGAGTCACCTTAGTGCTTAGCTAATTAAAACAGCAGCTTATATTTAATATATATAATTTCAAACTTGCAATAACATTGCTATAGTTGTTCTACTTTCTAACAATACTAACAATCTCTCCAGCAGCTACATGCACATGTCTACAAGATAGAGCAAATGCTACTTCATGCAATACATACATCTTACCTTATGAAGCCCAAATTCTACCAATTATGTCAGCCAAACTTAATGCATTATAAAAGTCTAGTTAAAAAGTTCTGTGTAAAAAAAACACAATTATTCAGACATACAAAATATTATGCACATTGATTTGCTCAATTCATCATTAATAAAAATTGACAATATATCATATCTATTTACATATGCAGCAATAGCTCAATAATAAAACAACAATATGTAGAAAATATTATAGTCATAGAAAAGCTACAACTTGGATACAATAATTAGTTTTAAACTTAAAGTAAGTTGATCTGCCCATATTTAACATTCAATAACCTAAATGTGTATGTGGTGTTCAATACACAACATCTGGGTATCAAACATTCAATACACAACATACATTAAACTAACATTCAATACATAACAGCTATGTACCTAGCATTCAATACACAACATCTGTTTATTCAACATTCATTACACAATATCGGTGTATTCCATACCTACTAAGGTATATACTGTATCTAGGGATCTATCACTGAGGAGCGGAAAAATGATCTCGATTTACGTTCGACTTTCCTATGCATACGAAAAATAAAGATTATATTTCAAACTTACGAACATTGTATATTTTATCAATTCATTGATCTGCTAAGACTAAGAAAATGTGTATTTTTGAATTTTGGAACTTTATAAGACAATATTGATATATACAGTAAGAAGATACCTTAGTAGGTATAGAATACACCTGTTATGTACGGTCAGTTTTGGATACAGGGTTTATCCCTCAGGAAATATGTGTATATCCCGAGGGACCGCGCATCGGGATATACACATATTTCCCTTGTATCCAAAACCTCCAAGTACACAACCTCTGTACCTAACATTCAATACACAACATTAACATCTGTGTATCCAATATTCAATTCACAACATCTGTGTTTCAAACATTTAATATGCAACATCTGTGTATCATTCATTCAATACATAACATATGACGGCGTCCATGTGCACCCAACATTCAATATACAACATCTGCGTATCTAACATTCAATACACAACATCTGTGTATCCACAATTCAATACACAACATCTGTGTATCCATGATTCAATACAAAACATCTGTGTATCCACGATTCAATACAAAACATCTGTGTATCCAACATTCAATACACAACATCTGTGTATCCAACATTCAATACACAAGATCTGTGTATCCACAATCCAATACACAACATCTGTGTATCCAAAATTCAATACACAACATCTGTGTATCCAACATTCAATACACAAGATCTGTATTTCCACGATTCAATACACAACATCTGTGTATTACACAACATCTTTGGACCTAACATTAAATACAGAAGATCATAAACAAGTCAACATTATTAATTCCATTCTGTTTAACATTTCAATGATATTCGGATTCTCCATGTTAGCGCAGTCAGATGTCCCTTTGGTAGTTCGACTTTTTCAGGAAAGCATCAAACTTGGCACAGTTGTAGAAACATATGATCTGAATGAAAAATGATTTCGGGGCAAGTGATTCGGGGTGGTCTTCATGGATTGTAAGCCTCTGACCCCCACCCCTATCAGGCAGGGAGGGGGTACATTATAATAAAATAAAAAAAATAGTTGTAAAGTATATTTCTTTAAATGACTTCATTTGGTGATTGCTTTGAGCCTTGAAATTGAGAAAAACCTATTTTAGAAGTGGTGTTTAGGAAGGAAAATACATTTTAACCCAATTATCTAGCGTGAATTCATCTTTCAAAGGGTCAAATATGGGACATCAAGTACTGTATTTCAAGAATGTGATGTCTGATCATCCTGAAAAAATTCGTACTAATAGAGATATAGGTGTTAATCACTCATATGATATATGGCTTGTGTAGCTCATGTAATTTTTGAGAAATAAATTATCGAAATATGGATATTTAAGCCCTTGCGGCCTAGGGGTGACCTTATTTTACCTTAATAATTTTTAAGATACGCAATGTTTGGGCCTCATATGAATTCTAAATGTTGCATTAAGTATTGTTTTGTCATATTATTCCTAATTAAATGTAAAAAAATTATTGGAAATTAAAAAAAAATCAAATTTTCATTTTCGGTTCTAAAGGGCCAGGGGTAACCATATTTTACCCTAATAATTTCCCAGATATGTAATATATGCATCTCAAATTAGCTCAAGATGTTGCATATAGTTCTGTTTTATCATACTTCTTCCAATAAGATGTAGAAAATGATCGGATATATCTAAAAAATCAAAATTTTCACTTAAGCTCTTGATGGCCCTGGGGTAACCTTGTTTTACCTTCATAATTTTCTAAATATGAGACATAGTCACCTCAAATGAGATTAAGATTGTATATTTAGTCCTGTTTTATCATATCATTCCCAAGGAGTGAAAAAATGATTGGAAATTATAAGAAAATGACATTTTCATATTACACTCCCAATCCGCAACATCTTCTTGCAGCGCTGTAAACAGTACTGAACAGTGCAGTCAGAGTACTGCACTATATAGCAATGTACAATGCTATTCTAACACCATCTGTTTTGGACAGCGTAGTACAGTACTGTTTTTACAGCTCAGTACTGTTTTAGAAAACAGCTGTGTTCAGTACTGTTTTTACAGCACTGTTTATGAAACCATGCTGTTTGATGCAGTTTGAGATTGGTAGTGTAGTTTATGATAGGTCAGGAATGACCTAATTTTACCTTAAAAATTTAAACAAAGATATATCATATTGTCTACTCAAATGAGCTCAAAATAGTGAATATAGACTAGTTTTGTCATATTATTGCTACTGAGATATACAATAATGATTAACAATTATAAAAAATGAACCTCAACAGCCATTTATTCCTTTTTAGTACCAATGGCAATACTATCTAGTTTTATAGAACATTTTCTAAGATATGAAAATGTTTGATAAGTCCAGTTCACACGAGTAGTAGCATTGTTAAGATTCTGTATATTATCATTTGAGTATATAATCCAAATCTATAAAACCTAATCAAAGGAGTCATAATTTATGGATTCTGACAGTCTCTCCTACAGCTACATAGCTCAGAGCAAATCAGATCTGCTTTCAAACATTTGCATCTGTTCTCTTGACACAGGTATCTACTCCATGACCTACATTTTATGTTGTGGCCTCAGTATCAGCAGTGGGAGTAGTCCAGCCACATTCATTTGGTGATAGAAACTGTGGGTAAGAATGCATCAGAATGAATAAGGACTCTAGTCTTCTAATTTTAGGGTATCAAAAAAGATTTAAAGCTTAAGAACACTTGCGTAACCTCTTGGTACACCTTCTATTCCTGCAAATCAGTTGACTAAGAGTAGTAGCAGAATGCATCTAGCGATTGTATGAAAAATGGTAAGGGCTAAACTTCGTTCATGGCCAAGTGGCCTTGAAATATCTAAGGCAGGTCGTACATACTGGAGAAATTTCCCCTCACCATAGGCCATATGCAATCCAAATTGACATTTTCAGCACAAGTTACTGCCAGTTTAAACCACATCAAAATCAACTGTATTGTCTATGATTCTTATTAGGTCATGACAGAAGCAGTCTTTGGCATGCTTCTTCATATGAGCGAATGGTGATGGCAGATACTTCACTATCGGGCTAAGATATTGCATTACCTCATTGTGAGGTCACTATCTTCTTGCCATCTTCCTCGAGGGTTTCAGTTTTGATGCCTGGAAGGAAAACAGCTCCCTCTTGTTCCAACTATCTTAGGAAATCTTGCCAATTCCACAGAAGAAAATTAGTAGGATATTAGGATAACTTTCCTCATCGTTCCAGTTTTGTGCTGTTTGTATCTATGCTCATTAACATCAAAGTTGAATGACTAAGCTACATAGTAGATGCCAAAATAATAGACAGGGCATGTATAGTTAAACAATTGCTAACAGTGAAATATAGGGAAAATTTGGTGATTATGCAAATATGATATTACCCACATAAAAGTTTGCAAATAGTTCATTGCCTTGATGTCGGCTGGGATGTTTACAAGGACACTAGCTTAAAGGGGCAACAAGGTCTGTAGAAGATTAAATTTTTTCACTTTTTCTGAGCTATCAGGGCAATATTTGGCTTTGACATACCTATTTTCTTAAAATGTATGGATAAACTATCAATTTCAGCATTAAGAAGTGTAAATTCAGTTCAAAGCTTCTATAAAGGGAGTCCCACTTATAGGTTTTTAAGATCCAAAACATTTCAAGAGGAATCAGCTGAAATAATGTTCATCCAGGGGGTTTCTTTGGAAAAAAATAAACATATATGTTAGTCTTGATGAAATATCAAAACTTGAATATATTTTGACACTGGTCCATAATCGTTGAATGGCCTCTTTGCACTAATTGTTCCACCTTTAAAACAGCACTAGAGAGACTTGTGGAACTGGAACAAGGATAGTCTAAGGAGGAAACTGAAACCCTTGAAATGCATGGAAAGAAGATAGTGACCACATAAATTAAGCAGTTAAGGAGGCAATGCAATGTTTTAGCCCAACAGTGAGGTTCTGCCATCACCCTTGCTCTTATAAGAAAAAGCAGATTCAAGGATATTTCTCAATATTTTCAGATAGACTGCTTCAATCATGGCCTTCAAGAGAAAGAATAATACTCCTTACATTTAATTCTGATGTGGTTATCCTGGCATATATGTGATGTTAAAAACTGAAAAAGTCAATTTGGATAGCATATGGTTAGGGAGAAAACATATCAATATCTACCTGCCCATGACCAAAGTTTAATCCTCCCCATTTCTCATACAATCATTGGATGTGATGTTACATCTGTATTCTACTGCTATGGAAAAATGGAATAAATGGATTGAGATTTAAATGTGTCACTGAATTTTCTAATTGTTGTTAATCATTATCTCAGTAGAAATAAAGTGAAAAACAGACTATTTTCCCCATTTTATCTTGAAAATTATTGTGATAACATTTGGCATTCTTGTGCCCAAACATTGACTGTCATTATTCACTAACAGAATCCTGTACAGAAGCAGCTCACCTTAACCCCCCCCCCTCCCCATCAGGCTAAGGTGACTGGACTTACTACCCTTTGCATTCATTCGACTTTCCTTCTCAAAAGAGAGCTTCGTCTTCACTCTATCAGTTTTCAATGAATCTCTGAACTCACTGCGCTAATCAGAGTTTGTTGTCGAAATAAGGACGGCTTTCTATATGGTCATTTTCTCTGACGAAATCGCATCATTAATGTGCACGCATTTACCACTTGTTCCTTCAAGCTCGCTGATTGGTTGAGAATAGGTCAGCATGGTTTATTGCAGCTTAAGTCATAAATGCTTTAAGACCAAAGCTGCCAATGGCATCGGTCATGGGGACGGGGCTGCTAAACTCACTCCATCCTTTGCGATAAAATCACCCCTGACCTGTCAAAAGCTAAAAATGTCATTTTTCAAATTTCCATTATTTTTTACATCTCCTAAGGAATAATATGACAAAACAAGAGTATATGACACAATTCTAAGCTCATTTGAGATGCATACATCTCATAATTAAGAAAAGTTCAAGGTTAAATAAGCCCCCCCCCCAGGCCATCATAAGCTAAAATGAAAATTTTAAATTTTAAGAAATGTCCAATCATTTTCTACATCTTATTGGAGGTATTATGATTAAACAGAACTATATGCACCATCTTGAGCTAATTTGGGATACATATATTACAAACCTTGAAAGTTATTAAGGTAAAATATGGTTACCCCTGGCCCTTCAGAAGCGATAATGAAATTTTTTTTTTTTTGAAAAGTTCCAATCATTTTTCAATCCAATAAGGAATAATATGACAAAACAAGACTCAATGCACCATTTTGAGCTCATATGAGACCCATACATTGCATATCTTAAAAATTATTAAGGTAGAATAAGGTTACCCCTAGGCCGCAAGGGCTTAAAAATTCAAATTTCGATAATTTTTATCTAAAAAAATACATGAGCTACCCAAGCCATATTCTATATTTGTGATGAACACTTATACCCCTATTAGTATGAATTTTTCCAAGATGATCAGACATCACATTCTTGAAATACAGTACTTGATGTTCCATATTTGACCCTTTAAAAGATGAATTCACGCTAGATAATTGAGTCAAAATGATTTTCTACACTAAACACCACATCTACAATCGGTTTGTCTCAATTTCAAGGCTCAGAGCAATCACCAATTGAAGTCATTTAAAAAAATTTACTTCACAACCATTTTTATTTATTTTTTATAATGTACCCCCTCCCAGCCTGATAGGGGTTGGGGTCAGAGACTAAAAAATCCATGAAGACCACTCCGGATCACTTGCCCCGAAATCATTTTCCACTCAGATCAAGTGTTTCTACAACTGTGCCAAGTTTGTTGCTTTCCTGAAAAAGTCGAACTATGAAGGGCTCATTTCTGGACATCTGACTGCGCTATGTTTCAATAGGATATCTTCAGATTGAGCGCTCACACTCCCAACACAATAATATATGTGCACATGTATTTCCATTGCATTTAGGATGTGGATCATTGAGGAGAAAGTCGCATGAATTCCCATATTATGCACAAATCATAAATGATTATGTCAAATATAGTGGATGTAGATTGTAGATCATATCATCTGTTAGTCCCATGGGCTGTTATGATAGGGGAAGCTTCGTAGCTGGCAGATGGTGGACCCCGAGCTTCATAAGTCTTCTTATAGCCTGAAATTGTAGAAGAACAAATTGCTTTCATTATCAACATATATGATAAGTCTGGTTAGTTCAGCACATTGGCTGTGCCATCTATTATGCATTTAACAGGAAATTAAGTGAAATTGTCCAAGTTTAAGCCATCTATGATATAAAAGGTTGTGTTTGATGGAAAATTAAAAGTACAAACTGTCAAATACTTATGTGTTTGAAGTGAACTTGCACCTTTACTTGTATACTATAAGGAGAATAGGAATATTGATATTTTGGGGATTGTAAATACATATAAGCCATTAACATGCAAAATGTCACCATCTGCCATTTGTTACAGACGCCCATTGCTAAACTGTTATTACAGACACCAAACACCAACCATCGAATACCAATTGCTGAATACCAGCCCAAAAATAGTTGGAGACAATAAAAATATGTCATCACTACTGGTGATGACATAGCAAATATATTATATAAGTAATTACCAGTTACATGTGAGGTGTATAAGTATATTGAATAAAACCAGGGTATGCTGAGGTATTAGATGTTTCATTCCTAATAGACTGTATATTTGAATCTCAATAAACTTGTCAAAACATGCAAAACATATTAACTTATTGACACATCGACCATACAAACACACTACATTTACATAATAACAAAAATACATCCACTGTAAAAATGCTCTACATTTATGCAGTAACAAAAATACATCCTCTGAACAATATTCTAAATAGTAAAAAATACACCCCTGAACAAACATTACAGATAGTAACTGAAAAATGTACTTCATTAAAGAAACCAAAGTAAACAAACATTTTACATTTATAATTCTTTAAAGTAACAAACATTCCAACAAACACCCTCTCCAACAAACATTCTACATTTACATTCTAACAAAATTACATCCCCTCAACAAACATTCTACATTTACATTTTAACAAAATTACATCCCCTCAACAAACATTCTACATTTACATTCTAACAAAATTACATCCCCTCAACAAACATTCTTCATTTACATTCTAACAAAATTACATCCCCTCAACAAACATTCTACATTTACATTCTAACAAAATTACATCCCCTCAACAAACATTCTACATTTACATTCTTACAAAATTACATCCCCTCAACAAACATTCTTCATTTACATTCTAACAAAATAACATCCCCTGGATAAACATTCTACATTTATTCTAACAAAATTACATCCCCTCAACAAACATTCTACATTTGCATTCTCACAAAATGACATCCCCAGAACAAACATTCAACATTTATTCTAACAAAATTAAAACCCCTCGACAAACATATTACATGTACATTATATTCTATCAAAATTATATCCCCTCGACAAACACTCTACATTTACATTCTCACAAAATAACATCCCTAGAACAAGCATTATTTACGAAGGTTAACTGAAGGTCATTCCCTTAACAAAGAGCAACTGAAATATAACATACATTCTACAATGTAGTAGCTGAAATACCTAACTTCAAAAAACATTTAAATAACAATTTAAGTAAACCTTAATTAAGAAGAAGCTGCTGATTACACCAAGCTCTTGTTATAATTTCAAGCAGGTCATGATTAATGACTGATGGCCATGAATCAGTTGACTTATCTGTCTATCCATACAATTAGGGAGGCTGTTTTGTAATTGTGCAGGTTCACATTTAAGTTTTGCACATATAAATTAAATCGCTTTATGCAGATTTAATTCATTTTTACTGATTTTTAAAGGTACTGCATTTACATATCTGTAAGAAACTCTCTTCAAAACTGCTTATGATGTAGAATATTTCTATTTTCAGCCAATCATAGCTAAGCCTGGTACATTTTAATCCAATGTAGTATGGGACTTGTGCAGGGTGAAAACCATGGGCAGCTCTGTAACATTATCATCATTCACTGAGTATGTACCAGGATTATTTAAAACAGGGTTTATAGATTGAGAGCACTCAGCACAACTCGATCAGGACTTTTTACTAAAATCTATAAAGTTTTTATCGACAGAAAGCAATGCCTTGAAAAACAGCCACATTGAATGTTTGGCATTCGCAAACATGAGTTTTGTGAAAAACTCATGACCATCAGTAAAAAGTAGTAGTATGGGGGAGGGTTCTACCCATAATGCCACTCAAATTCTATACAGTATACACAGATGTACCTGTTAGCAAAAACAACAGAAAAGTTTGGGTTTCTGGGGAGGAGGTTCCGGGAGCTCTGGGGTATTGACAGCCAAAGCTGCATATTCTGAAATATGTAAAGTTTTCAGCATAATCTGTCTATCAAATTTCTGCATGTAGTTTTCCATCCCAAAAAGCTGCAAAGTGATCATTTCAATGCTGCATATTCTTTTCATAATAGCATACTAACCTTAATAAACTTTTCAATGCATAAACTGTTGCAAAGGTAGTGTTGAAAGATGCCCTTAAAGCAACCTAGACACTAGATATATGACACAGTAATATTAATAAAAATGAATAAAGAGCAAGCATTTAAAACACAAACAGATCCTGAATCCGTTCATATATTGATATATATTGAAATATACCCAAGTCACCGTTTCATGTAAATTGTTGTGTACTAAGTTGGAAAAAATAAATAAATAAAAAATGGGTTCCATTCCATGATATCATAGAAATAGAAAATTGTATTCATAATGTTACTAAGTACTTACCATAGGGGAAGTATCGAACTGTTAACTGGAGCTCTTTATTCGACTTCAGGATGTTTACTGCCTGGAAATCATAAAGGCACCATATCAATAGTATTATATATATAAAACATCAGTTATTCAACAAAAAAAAGAGCAACATTTTTCACATCTCAGTTACAATTTTAGAGAAATATATTTTCTTAATAAAGAAAGCTTTGAATAAGGGTCTAAAATTTCTAACCCATTTGACTTTTTTGTATTGTATCTTGGTAACCGCCATATTTGGAGAGCAATACCTCATTGGTGTACTCTGTATTTTACATATTTTTTGACTCAAAGACAGAGCCAGAAACTCCCCCTTGGAGGAGCCCAGTGTTTTTTGTGTGCACCGGAACTGAACCTGGGGCCAAGCGAAAGGGGTAACCTTGACTCTGCCACTGAGCCATAGTGGGTGACAAGAAACAAGAATATCTTTTTCAAAGCCTCAGAATGATACTTGCCTCCGCATGGTCAATGTTCTCAAAGCTTGTGTCATTTATCCGCAAGACCTGATCTCCCTCTCTTAAACCTAGCCTATGAGCATCTGTGTTTAGCATCACCTACAAGACAATGTATGTACATATTAAGTGTGGGGGAGAGGGTGTGGGGGACAAGGGGTGCAACCAGTGCATCAGGTTGTGGGTAAACTTACCTCTTCTAAACCAAAAAAGGTCATTTATGAATAACAAGCATGTAGTAGTTAGAGGAGTTATATAGACCTTTTAATATCATGTCCGCTATGGGGGAGACTGTCCTCTGTAGCATTTCCAATAAAATTGCATGCTCTTCCATAGCAAACAATATTCTTCTGTTGACAAAACATTACAAAACTCGCAATGGGGTAAAATACCCCAATTGTTAACAAAATAGCCACATCAATTTTGATAGCGTTACCTTTGATCAATAAAGACCACAGTTATGATAAAAGTACCTTTTAATATATAAAGTTACCTTTGATATTTAAAGTTACCATTGATATATAAAGTTACCTTTCATACATAAAGTTACCTCTGATATATAAAGTTACCTTTGATACATAAAGTTACCACTGATATATAAAATTACCATTGAAATATAAAGTTGCCTTTGATATGTAATGTTACCTTTGATACATAATGTTACCTTTGATATATAATGTTACTTTTGATTTTTAAAGTTACTACATGTTTTGATATATAAAGTTACTACATGTATTGATATATAAAGTTACCATTGATACATAATGTTACCATTGATATATAATGTTACCTTTGATATATAAAGACCACAGTGATGCTCCTTTCCTCCTCTGATGTTAAAACCCAACTACAAAAATATAATGAAATAACGAAAACAAATCAACATTATTTGCATGGATAAAGCATCAAACAAGTGATTGCATCATTCTACCATCTTGGTAGGGAATATAAATAAATCAGTAAGTAAGACCTCATTCTTGGTATCTTTTTCCAAAAGGTGTTATCTTAAAAATGACATTTATCCTATTTGTTTGTCTGCTATCAAATGGCACTCATTTTGACTCATAAGTCATTTTGATTGTGAAAGAAGTGACAGCTTAAGGTCTCTATTAAGATGAATAACAACAAAGCACATCCAGAATCTCTTACATATTTTGAATCTACTCTTAAAGTTGTAAAAAATTTCCAAAAATAGATTTATTCTAAAAACTGAGAGCTATTAGAATGATTATTATAATTTCATTGGTGGATATTCTTAACATTCCTCAATATATCAAAATGACTCTTGCAATTGAATTGTTACACTTCTCTGAACATTCCTAAATATATTGAAATGACTCTCATAATTCAACTGCAACATTAACCTCGGGCACGTAGGCATGAATTGCAAAGGGGGAGTGGGTTGTCAATCTTTAAAAAATTCCAAGGGGTTCACTTTTGACAACTTTGGCCCAAAATGGCAAAATCACTGGCAAAGTGCTCACTGCATGATTTTGAAAGAATTTTGGTCGGGGGGGGGGGGGTCAGGGTTTCTGAACATTCCTCATTGTGAATAAAATGTCTTTACATCTGATCAGAGTTTACACTGTGCACATATGTGAGTGCTAGTGGAATGGCAAATGAATTATGGTTTATATTTCATTTGGAGGATTATGAAACAAAATCATATCAAAAAGTTAATACTTACCACATCATTTTTTTTCATTCGCCTGATTTTCACGGATCTTGGTAGAAACTGATTGATATCATTGTTGTAGTCATTGTTGGATGATCTCTAAAATAAATATAGTGCAAGGCTTTATAAATAAGCGGTGGTTTTCAAAATAAATAGGATGTTTCTTCTGAAATAGATGTCCTAGACTCTAATCTCAAGGATAGAATGCACAGATGAAGCAAACGTTTTGCAAAACAATCTCTAATATGTTGATTTTTAACTGTTAAATTTGACATGCTTCTGCCATTTACTTTTCAGAACTTTTTTCATTCCATAGAACATGTGTTCTATAGAATATTGTGTTCTAACAAAATCTCATAATCCATTTGTTATAATTCATTATATCTCACAATCCATGTTATTTTTTTCTCTTTTTCTTTTTGGAGATCAATTATGTAATATCCCCCCATCTTTTTGTACATTAACCATATCAAAAAATGTTGCTTTTACGCCAGATATTTGACATCAAATTTCCATTGTTTTCGGATTATCCTAATCCCAAGGGGACTCACTTTTCCTTTTCAGAGGTAAATCATGAGTTATACATGTAGTAAATTTCAATTTAATTGTAAAAATTGGAATAAAATGCTGCATTTTTGGTGAAAATTGGCTCATAATTGCGGAAAATTGGTGATGATGGGTGAATTAATGACAGCTTAAGAGATAATCTATTCGATTCTACTTTCATTCTAATGCCCCTTATTGAAGATGACATATCGGGAAAGGAAATGCATTTGTTTTTGTGGTCAAATAATGATTAGAACTTAAGTAAGAGCTGTCTAAAAAGCTTGCAATAACGTGCCTGCCCCTTTGAGGATTTTTAACTTTTTTGAACTAAGATGGCCGAGTTTCCAAATATCATTTACATGACCAGGATCACTATGGGCATGGTTAGAATGACCCTAAACATAATGAAATATCTTTTCAGCCCTCTGAAAATGTGACTGAAAATTAGTTAAAAGTTGTACTCTCTGAAAGGTCATCAAACAGGATTTAATGATTTTTTAGAATATTACTTCAAATGAAAGGAGCTGTGTTATCCTCCTTCTGATCATTTGTTAGTTGTATGTATTCTTATCAACAGTTTTTAAATTCTTTGGTATTTTTGTTAAAGACAGTAAGTTGTTCTATTTAATAAGTGTCAAGTTGCATCAATATTTAAATCAAAACATGGACAAAAGTATAGTGTGAACTAATCATCGTAAGTCTGTTGTAATTTTCTACATGTCTGGGTAGTAGTGGGTGTCAACCTTTGCTTTAAAAGTATACGCTGACTGAAGAACACTTGTCTTAGGTTACATCTGTCTTAAAAGAATTTCTGGCTGTGGCCTCTTTGAACTGGGATGATTCTGTCTTGTCTATGCCATTCATTATTTTGTACACTTTGGTTAAATCTCCTCTTTTCCTCCTGTATGTCATTGGGAATAGATGTACTGTAGTTGTTTTAGTCACTCTTTGTAAGGTAGATCAGACAGATTATGCCAGTGATGAGTTAGGTGGCTCAACTTTGGATTTTCTCAATCTTGTTGACGTCCATTTGATACATTATCTGGGATTCCAGGCTACTGTGCAGTATTCTAGGTGGGGATGGACAAAGGTTGTGTATAGGGGGAGGAATATATCTCAATCTTTATTGGAGGATGTTCTTTTGAGTTCACCGAAAATCTTGTTGGCTTTGTTTACACAGTTGGAGGCATGGTCATGAAACTTTTATTCTTCGCTTATGGTCACACCAATAATGCGTCCTTTGGTAACTTCCTTCAGTGGTTCGTTTGATGTGTACTTGTGGTTACATGCAACAATAAATTCTGTAATCCATATCACAAGTAAAGTATGCTTTAATTCAAAGTTACTAAAAGCTTCGCAGGGGACATCTTGTAGACTCTTGCTTGTTGAAGGTAAAACAACATAATCTTAGACAGTTCATCATCATATCAATTATCACCCACAGCTTTTTGATTTTTTTACAAAATGACGAAAATGTACAGCTGTGAAACGTTAATATACGTCACACTTTCTCATGCAAAATAAATAGATCGGCAAGAATGATATCTTACCTGTTCAGGGGGTATCCAGTCAGGTGGATGTTCATAAGTGGGCTTTGAAACGTAAAAGTCCTCCATCCTCAAAATTTTTCTATTTTTTTAGGTCAATCAGGTCTAAATGATGAACCAGTTGCTGAATATTAATGTCTTCTTCATTAATGACGTACACAAAACATTCTGATAAACATAATAAAAAACGGTATAACGTAAATATATTGAACAAGTTTTGCTATTTTTATTCTTATTTATTCTGTAAATGTGAAGATTCAATTATTAAATATTATTGAACATCTAAGCATGTTCTCTGAATATCCCACAATGCAACACCATAAAATTTTTACTTCCTTTTCCTCTCGCTGCAGAAAAAATGGCAGTCGGTAAAAATAAAAGGCTGACCAAAAGCGGCAAAAAGGGTCAAAAAAAGAAAGTGTAAGTAGAAAATTATCGACATTGCATTCAAAAAATATTTGTTGATCAATTCACTTGCATTAAACAAGTCATCGTCCTTGGATGGTATTGATATTGCTCCGATTATGTTGGCCCATTTTCGGAAGACATGTCCAAATTAGACCAAAATTGAATTATTTTCCGTTTCATGAGGAAGTTTAATGATTTCAATCTACTAAATGCACGACACATTTGATCACACATCAACTATTGGATTTTATAGACTGTGTTTCTTGTCATTCTCAGATTGTGTCCATAAGGATAAAGTGACGAATTTCAAAATATCTACTTGCAAAACTGAAATCTGTTTGACAAAACCATAATGAGGCCTATCCTAACTGTTCATAAAAGGACCTAGGCTAGTGGACCTTGTTGGGTTATGAGCATGAACTCTAATGACAAGATTCTTTATTATTGTTTTCATTTTAGCGTTGACCCTTTCTCCAAGAAAGACTGGTATGATGTGAAGGCTCCATCTATGTTCAACATCCGCCAGATCGGCAAGACCCTTGTCACCAGAACCATTGGCACAAGTAAGTTGCACACTATCGAGGCTGAATGATTTAGATTACTGTGAATCTATATTAAGATTCATGCACTTGCAGACCTCCTAGACTTCCACCAGCGCGAATATCAGTTCCAACCTCACGAATTACATTCCTTGCATCCGAAACCAAGATTCTCACATAGTAAATGAGAAAGCCTTAGCAGTGCACCACCATTTTCTCGCTCCAGAACATATTTCTCCACTCTTGAACTACACAACTGATCGGAAAAAAGTCAGTAATGTTATTCGCCTAACTAAAAAAAATCCCAAATAGCTGAATGCACTATGTACAAATTGTTCGCAAACACAACAGATCTTTTTGCGCAAGTGGAGAAATATGATTGGAAGCTAGGAAATGGTAGTTCTGGAGGTCAGAACTGATGTTCGTGTCGGTGGAAGTCTAGGAGGCCTGACTTATCTGAGCATTCAATACAGGGTTCTCAATTTTTGTGAATTATGCAGAATTTTAGCAAGAACAAGAATACCAATGTTTTACCATGAAGCAATGATGACATCTATTCCACAATGATACATAATGATTCATTTATTGTTACACACTCTGAGTTTCTCAAAACATTGGTTATATGATATATGTACTTCAAAAATATTGCATCATTTTAGACTGGCCTGCAAATCAGCACATTTACACTTTAAGTAGTCATTTAATGACCACAAATTTAGATATTTTAATACATTTGTAATATAATTTACAGAAATTGCCTCAGATGGTTTGAAGGGACGTGTTTTTGAAGTAAGTTTGGCTGATCTTCAAAATGATGAAGTTGCATTCCGCAAATTCAAGCTTGTTGCTGAGGATGTCCAAGGACGTGCAGTTCTTACAAACTTCCATGGTATGGATCTGACCAGAGACAAGCTGTGCTCTATGGTCAAGAAATGGCAGGTAAGTTTTAGCAAGAACCGGAATACCAATGTTTTACCATGAAGCAATGATGACAACTTATTCCACAATGATACATAATGATTCATTTATTGTTACACACTCTGAGCTTCTCAAAGAAAACATTGGTTATTATTATTTACTAATCGTCTTTTTTAAACAATGTGATTATTACAAATACTGTCTCAAAGTCCAAGAGGACATATAGATATTACTGTTGTTGAGTTTTTCTAGTTTCTAGGCTTATGTGTAAAATGGTATTGAAATGGACCTTTCACATTTCTATCTGCGCTAACATTTTATTCTTAGGAAAAATTTTATTAAAATTACTTTGTTTGATGGCTGTTATCCAAAATAACAACACAATTTATATTTTTCTAGACCCTCATTGAGGCTAACGTTGATGTGCGTACCACAGACGGCTTCCTCCTGAGAGTCTTCTGTATTGGATTCACAAAAAAACGACAGAACCAAATCAAGAAAACATGCTATGCCCAGAGCACCCAGGTAGGCCCTCATAATATATATAATTTTATAATTATTAAGTTACAGATCTAGTATATTTACTTACATTTATGACTTCCAAGAGGTAAAATATAAGATTGTGTTACAAGTTAAAAGGTTGTTAGCCTTTTAGGTGGAGGGGTTGAGCTTCTTATACCACATCTATTATATATGTTATTTGTTGGTTTTGATTTAAGCTGCATCTCAAATAAGAAATGCGTTCGTGACATGCATCGACAATTGACCTAGTTTTCTTTTTTTTTTATATAATTGCTCTGACTTTTCATGAATACCAATGTAGCAAATAAGACCTGAACAATTATGGAGTCTGAATATTTTGTTGAGATTTTACTTGTGGTCTAATAAATTGTAACCATCACTGACTCTGTTTAAGGATGATCCTTGTGAGGGCAATTTTGTCCAGACAAGTTATCCATAACAAATTTACCGATCTTTCCTGTGTATTTTAGGTGCGTGCCATCAGGAAGAAGATGTGTGAGATCATGACCCGTGAAGTATCTGCCAATGACCTCAAAGAAATCGTTAACAAACTGTAAGTTACATTTACTAAAATGGTCATGTAGGGCTCTCATGGTGCAACGAAACACAGTCTTGTAGTTCTTAGACTGGTCAGTACGCTCGGTTCGAAAACTCTCTGGATCAGTTTTTTAACGGTTTGTCAATTCAGAAATAGATTGCTGTTTGCTAAAATATTGCAGTTAGTTAGGTGAAGCGAAAAGTAAATAGTGTCAAAGTGAGATAAAGACTCTGCATTATTGACGCTTATAAATTGTATAAAGCTCAATTTTGATGTTAATTTCCAACGATGGATGCTGTACCTATCACGGAAAAGGCGTGGTGCTGGTTTTGCAAAGTTGTTCTGATATATGAGAAAAGATGCATGAAAAAAGGAAATTTTACAAAATGAAGTGTCAGTTTGCGTTATCTGTTTTTCATTATTCATTAAAGTGCGATAAGAACCAAAAAACAGAATGGAACCAGAAAGATAAAAACCGTGAACAAAACTGATAAATTATGAAACTGTTAGAGTTCAACTGATTAGAGTTTTTGAAAAATGTGCAGCTGTTATCTATGATGAAAGTTTTTACTTCCATGGCTATGAACATGTGATTACACTACACACTCTCTGAGATCACAGCTGTTGATTAAGTTGCATGGTCATTCCAAATCTGTTTAGTATGTCTTCAAATGCAACCTGAATTGGCCATACTTATCATTTGTATTCTTCAAGAAGTAATTGGTTGGTAAAGTTAATTTCAAGATTGATGATTCACGTCTAGAAGTATTATTTGTCAACTTTGAAGCTGTGTTCAGGTCTGTATGTATTTTTCAGTATCCCAGACTCTATCGGCAAGGACATAGAAAAGGCCTGCCAGGGTATCTACCCTCTACATGATGTATACATCAGGAAGGTCAAGATTCTAAAGAAACCTAAATTTGATTGTAAGTATTAGTAGAATTAATATTTTAAAAAAACACATGGTCTCCAGGTGAACAACGACATTAAGAAATTTGTGGCATGGTAATTATTAAAGTGATCTATGATGAAAGTTTTTACTTCCATGGCTATGAACTTGTGATTACACTACACACTCTCTGAGATCACTTGTCATCCCTCTATTTGTATGACGACTCATTTTCCCATAATCTCAAAACTACAATTTGTGAAAATGTGAATTCAGATTACTGAGAATTGTATATTCAAGTTGTTTTTTGTGTTTATTTCCAGTGGGAAAACTTATGGACTTGCACGGTGAGGGCTCCAGCAAAACAGTAGTCACAGAGACTGGAGAAACTGTAGTCCGTGCTGACGGATATGAACCACCAGTTCTAGAATCGGTATAGACTGATTGAAATTACAAAAAAATATGTAAAAATATGAAAATAAATTGAGAACTGGAATTGTGCTGTTATGTGGTGTGATATACAAAGGATATGGATTAATTGGATTAAGTCAGTGGCAATAGCAAAAGTGTTTCTCTAGAATAATGAAAAGGATTACTAACGTCAGTTATAAATCTTTTTCATGTACACCCAACTGTGGAGTTGGAATATCTGGGCATTATGGTGTGAAATCGACAAAATTCTCATTGTACCCTCAACCTCAGGCAACCAAACACTGGCTCAAATACAGCACATCTTCGTGATGTAATATATAACTGCAATCTGATAGGAAATTTTTATAATACAGAAAAAATGTCATCAGAATGTGGAGGCAATTGTTGATATGCTAACATTCAATTACTATGCTTGTACAGGGTGGGCCAAAAAGCCACTTTTTTTTAAGACACTACAACTTGTTTATTTTCCAACCTACAAACCCCAAATTTTGAAGTTATATAGTGCCAAGGGTTCTTAGTAATAATATCTGGGTTCTCGCCAGAATCTAATTGCATGGCGCTCCCCCCTGCTCACTCGTTTTCCCCGCCCTGTTCCCCCCCTGCTTGCTTCGCCCGCCCTGCTTAGCGCCCCGCTACTTCAAAACTTACGTACATTATTTTATTCTCCTGGATATTCGACGAAATCACATAAAATTCAAAAATTTTTCAAAAAGTTTTTCCCGATTTGCCATTCCGAAGGCCGAATCTTAAATGTCTTCTGATTGGCTCAAAACTCATGATTAGTTACGAAATATCCAATCAAATTATCTATTACTAATCGTGTGTCATCGACATAATCTGCCCCAGGTTCGGTTCGATCACTTGATTTGACTACGTATGCGCATGCGCCCAAAACATTCTAACCTATCAAAATCGTTCATTTGATGCGTGCGTTCAGAAAATTAGAAAAAGTTAACAGTTTGGAATAAAACAAACATAAAAACGACTAAAACTACAATTTGACAATTTTTTATTAATAGTTATTATAATTGCGAACGAATTAATGTTCAAATCTTGCTTTTGATGGTTGTCATGATAAAGAAGTTCGACTTCCGGTTCTTTATGCGGGAAACTCAAAAAAAATGGGTAAAATTAAAAAGACTTACTAGTATCTAAAGAATAGAATGAAAGTAGAAACAGTGGACAGGGTCATCAACATTATCATAAATGGACCAAGGGAAGAGGTGTTCGATTTTGAGGCAGCATGGGGGAGGTGGTTTGACATGCACCCCAGAAGATGTAGGGACAGAAGACTTTAAAGGAAACACAATGAACAATGAATACTCATGACACTACAAGCATATTATCATGTATTGTTAAATAAAAGGTTTTCTAAATGAGAATTGGTGTTTATATAGCGAGCGAAGCGAGCGGCAAAAATTGGCACAAAAATCATGCGAGCGAAGCGAGCGGCGAAACTTGTTAAAAAAATCCCCCCCTGCTATGAAAAAATCCTGGGGAGATCACTGAATATAATGTAACAAGTCCTTCAACTGGGATTATATTTGATCTAAAAGGGGAGTTCAATTGGTCCGCCACCCTAATTGATGACATATTTCAGTTTTAGTCGCCTTGCTGACATCGCAGTATCAATGAAATGTTAGCTAAGTTTTTTTCAACCTGTCTTAATTGCCAGCTTTAGTTGAGCAATTTTCTAGATTGGGTGCCTTTGTACAATCTCCTGGAGACCTTCCCATACCCAATACTCACTGGGGTTTGCATTAGGGCTATTAACTTGGCGATCAGGCTGTATCAGTTCGGGAACATTTTGCAAATTATGCTTATTTCTCATGGCACACCACATGTTTAAATGAGACGTTGGTGACATATTTTATTCAAGTAAAAGTGTATAATTTATGATCCATGGCTAGATAACAACCAGTTTTCCAGGTTTTAAAGAGGCTCCATACCATAGGATAGCGTAATGAAAACCCCTCTGGACCTTTTTGCATATTGAGTTTCACTACATATGCACCGATCTTCTCATCAACAAAGAAGTCTAAAATCCCCCTGAAGTTAGGATATACCGGGAAAATCCATGTTATCTGGTTGGTTGTTGAATTTGTTTATCATGAACCTGATTGGCTGCCTGGTTCAAGGCACATGTGGGCGCTTGTGTGACTCAGCGGGGATTCCCCTCGGTAGCCGAGGAATCGATTGTGTTTAATTCTGGAGGTTGGTTGATCTGTTGATTATTTCAATATTTTGCCAATGACATCACTGATTGTCTGGGTGAGAAACCTATGGTATACTGCATCTTTAATATACACGTAAGCAACATATTTTCTATGCATTTTGTACTTTCTGTGTCGGATTCAGTCATAAAAAATATCTAGATAAATTCTTAGAAAATTGGGGTTATTTCCTCTCACAGGAATTGATCTTTGTGGAACGTATGTCTGTTTCTTATTTCACCAATGAGGCAGTATATTTAAATATTACTAATTATTCATCTGTTTGTCTTTTGGAAAAATGAAACCTGTCTAATGTCTAATCTGAACTCTAAATAAATGCTCATATTCTCCATTTAAGGGGTTCAAAATAGTAATTTACACAATTGGTTCCGACTCGTCTGCCTTGTTTTGTCGTCAAAATATCACATATTTCACAAAATAACCATGTTCCATAAAATACAAGTCTTTATTGGTCTATTTTAGTGTTTTCAAATCAAATAATATTGCAATCGGTTTATTAGTGTTATCTTCAGCGTCCTTTCTCTGACCACTCAATTCTACAAGAAGGTAGACATGGTTTTATTTATTCTAGCCATAATGCTGTACACACAGATTTAAATTATGAGCTAACTTTTGCATAGGGCCTACTAATAACAAAAAAATTGTTAAATATAATTTAGACAAATCAAAAGCACATTTAATTATTAAAAACTGAAACCACATAATTTAACAAGCAATATTTTGGTAGTATGTTTTCAAAATATAAATGTATAATAGATTAGATGCGAGTAGAATTAATCTTGATTTGCATCATTACATCTTCAAAATGATGTCATATTTGAAAATATGGTTTCAAAAGTTTATCAACATGGGGGAAATCATATGGGGAAATTCCCCATAGACCCATGTTATAAAATCACAAAAAGTGAAATATCTTCTCTTGTATTAAATAGATAACATTTATTTTTAATGGGCATACTTTAATTTGCATAACTAATAGATCCATTAGGGTGATATGAAATTGAACCACTAAAACAGATGGGTATTTAAGTTAAAGGGAACTTTCACCTATACCCGCCATGCTATCTGACCTGAGTGATAACTGGTAACTACCTACTCGCATCTAAGTTATTTAGTCCCTGAATAAAAAATAAAATCCTGAGTGAATAAAAAGATAAAACAGTTCAAGCAATATATGCTGAAATATACACAGAAATCATCTTTTAATTGGTTAAAGCTCTTGTTTTAACCCTTAAACGGTTTGGCTATAATAGAGAATTACACCAACAGTTGGGGGGGGGGGGGGCAGATATCCCCTATGATCATTGAAACTGACAATTCCAAGAGGGTGTATTAGGTATCATTGGAAAGGTTATTCAATTCCCAGTATCTTGAGCCTACTATATTGAACCATTATTAATTGAGAAATTCATATTCTAAGAACACAGGGGTTTTTCGTTTCAGGTCAAAAAGTGACAATTTGGGTGTTGTTCCAACTTTGACCAACTCTTACTTTCCTCCAAGGGGGGATAGAGTCACAATTTTTTGCTAAAACAAGCCTAACATTTTCTTTTACTGGACACATTTTAATTTGCATAACTATTAGATGCATACAAAAGGGTGAATATTTAAGTTAAAGTGAACGTTCTACTATACCCGCCATGCTATCTGACCCGTACGAGCCACCTGGTGGTGAAACTGGTAACAACCTACTCGCATCTGAGTTATTAGCATTTTTAATTTTTGGCAAATAAAACATTGATACCACTGATGTAATACTTTTATAATATTTACCACACTTAAATAAAACATTAAATTTGGCAACATACATAAAACAAAAATGTATGAAGATTCCATAATAATTTTATACATCTTGGTCCAACATAAAAAATTAACTATGAATCATACAGCAACTCTACAGATCCATATATTAAATTAGAAGAAAACATATTTGGTAATGTTCATGACTATATTATTATGGAATTCTTTTCATGACTATTCTGTATATTTTCATGACTATCCTGTAAACAGTAAGAATTAGCAAGGACTAGATAAACAGCGACTCACGTGCATGGCAAATCCCATACAAATGATTCCTTATTTTGGGAATTTCATGCTTGAAATATCATATATGAAATAATCTTGGAAGTACAGTACAGGAATGTTCAAGAACTTAATACAGACATAAATATTTATGAACATAAGAAGAACGTAAAAAGAACATCTATGAACATGATACATTAACACAGAATGTACATGAATGTGAATACTACATCATCAAGTGATCATATAAGACTTGTATAAGAGAATTTGTAATTTGCATGATTTAAAATTAGTACTTGAGATGTACCTTTACATGATGTCACGAAAATGAGCTGTCCAACTCCGCTAAATCCCCTAACAATATTACCAACCAATCCCATGGTATTTTTTAAAATTTTTATTCACTCTGGTATCACCCACCCTCTTAAGATCCTGAATTGCATTTTTTTTATGAAAAAGATAAAGTTCAGAGGCAGTGAACATAACTCCCTGAGCAAGAAACAAGGTTAGAAATGATACAATCTCACCACACTGCAAACTGAGTGTTAAATACAATACTTAAATGAAGCAAGGAAATCAAATCAAGAATGATTTGTGCGTGTCTTTGTATTCCTTCACTAGTTAATTTGATTTCAGCATTGTTACATCATCTGATTATCTTAATACACCTATTTGCCCTCTCAGATGGAGAAGTCACATACTAAAGAAAGATGGTCGGATGGATACTTAAAAGAGGGAAGTCTCTCTACACCTATCTCTTCCCCAGATGGGAAGTTCAGCACTGCATTAAGCTGGCACTTGTTGTTAAACCACACATAGTCAATAGTTCTACAGGATTCTTCTAATGTGTCACCTTTACCACCACGGATCTTCCACGTCGTGTACAATGGTTCCTGTTTACCTCCATTAGCTACTTTGTAAGCACTTTGTAATTCAAGATCACTGCTTGAGAAAGCCTCGTAAACCTTTTCAGTGGGAGGTGCATTGAGATCGCCACAAACTATCAAAGGTGACTGGCCAACAATTTCCTTGAGGTATTTCAACAGATAACGACCTTGGCTTTCACGTAAGTCATTCCATCCTGATTTTGCTTTCAAATGTGTTGTTGCTACCCAGAATGCATCACTGGAATTTCCTTTATGTTGCAATTTATTTAATACACAAACTTGATTTGTGGTCATATTTTCATCATTTGTCATCAATATCTTTGTGCAAGTCTCAACTAATTCAAATTTCTCTGTTCTATAAAATATGGCGCATCCATCAGGCCCATTGGAATTCTCGACATAAAGTGCTGGCGAATCAGGTTTTGGATAGAATGTTCCTGGAAAAATAAAGTTCTGATTATAAATTCAAAGATTACATTAGAAACCAACAGACAGATATGGCTTTTGTTTATCTCTATCAAACTTTGTTAGATGGGATATAAATCAATCAACCAATCAATCAATAATGGAGGTATACATTATTATTCGATTGACAGTTCTATTTTGCACCTTCCATATTTGGAATTATGATTTTAAATAACACAAATAGATGCCCTAACACCTGTGATATTAGAGAATTTGAAAGAAAATGGCTTCACTTAGAATAACTCTAACTGAAGTTGATGACAACTTCAGTTTAGCCAAAATCGGAAGAATTTCCGAAAAATCTTGAATGACGCTAACTGCAGCTAGAACCATCCAGCTGTGGAACAATGATGTAGTCCAACTGTACCTGTGAAGCCAACTGACTGCAATATATTTTCTAAATAACCAAAGTGGTCGACCTCCTGCATACATATGACATCAGGGTCGTACTGAAGTATTTCCTCAACTATACGTAGTTTCCTAGTGCCCCAGTCAAGAGCTTCAAGAGGGCATCGCACAAAGTTGTCTTTTCCCATGCATAAACCTAACAATAATAGAGCATCTTCTATATAATTGGACATAAAAATGACAACACCACATTTTGATAAAAAAGGCACTAACATATCGAACCCAGACAGAAAGTTGGAGACCATAACAATATGTCACTTTTGATGTTGACATAAAATCTACCACATTTCAGTTAAGGTTAGAAAGGTCATTTTATTTCATTTTAGTTTGGCCATTTGAATGTATTTTCCAAAATACGCTTTATTGTTTTCTATCACAAATCATTTTTACTGAACATGCTGTAATGAACATTTTGTCAAAGGTAGCAAAACCCAATGTGAATCTTTGTCCACCATTATTGACTATGGCTTCTGCAATACCCATAGGCCCCGGGAACATATATAAAAAAATCAAGTCGACGTACCATGTATGTATTTAAACTTGAAATACATATGTCGACTCCATTTTTTATACATGTTCCCGATTTTTTATTTACATGTTCCCGGGGCCTATGGCAATACCTATTCTCAAGAATCAAGTTCTCGTGTGAAGACTCTGTAGATTAAAATAATCATTTACCTTGGGCTAATATATTCCATTGTAAGAGTCTCAAGCCATTCTTGCCAATAGGTGGTTTTGCTACAGACTGAAATGTCCGTGCTAACAAAGCTGGTTTGCCACTTAAAAGTGACTTGATAACTTCTAGGAGACTATTTGAAGACCTTTGAATGCTAGTGTCAATTTCTGGGGATATTTCAGGCTTATATGATTTTCCATTAATTACATCCATATTGTCTTTTGTGTGATATCTACAAGTAAAAATATAAAATTGTCAATGATTGGTCTTTCCAATTGTATAATCTTTTTAACTGGAAAAAACAATCATAGATAAAGATCAGCCTAAAAACTTATGCCTGGCACTTCGCAAGGATCCTGCCATGACCGTGGTTAAGTGTTATCATGAAAGCCTGGCATAACCGTGACAATGTTATATTATATTGCAAGGCCTGTCATGACTGTTATGACCATGACAATGTTATATTATATTGCAAGGCCTGTCATCACTGTGGTAATGTTAAAGCCTGATATGACCGTGACAAAAATATATATATTTTAATAGCATGAGAATACCGCAATAAAAAATATCATCGTTTAATTACCTAAATATTTAAACCTAGACTACTATCACACCCGGTGATCGTGAATATGGGACGGAGGGGGGGGGAGCAGGCAATTTCTGCTAGGAAATTCAACAAATCTGGAAGATTTATTTTTTCAAGAAAAAGTTTACTATTGAATTGCTAAATGGATAGGCGCACGGTATTGTAGAATATGTTAGGTTTTCTGGGATTTTTTCTGAAACGATACACATCTAAGGTATGAGATCTATTAAAAAAGGCGCAAGGCCATCAACAGGCACAAATCAACGTTTTTGCTATAAATCAAGCAACAATGGTCTGGACGACCTGTAATAAATACTTGTAAGTGATGTTATCATAACTAAATTAATGTCATTGCTGAATTTATAAAATAAGTTTCCATATGTAAAATAAAAAATAATCGAAAATAATGAATTTGGGACGGAGGGGGGGGGAGGTGACGGAGGGGGGGAGCAATATGTATATAAGTCCTTTTACTCCAAATGTCCCCATTTTTCAGTCTCCAGGGGTATATAATCCAGTTTCTTACTAAGTTAATCAGTTCATTTTTCAAATACAAGAATTCGTGTGAAGTTGTTTCACTTTATAGAATTATTACTCCCCCCCTCCGTCCCCTCCCCCCTCCGTCCCATTTTAATTATTTTCGATTATTTTTTATTTTACGTATGGAAACTTATTTCATAAATTCAGCAATGACATTAATTTAGTTATGATAACATCACTTACAAGTATTTATTACAGGTCGTGTAGTCCATTGTTGCTTGATTTATAGCAAAAACGTTGATTTGTGCCTGTTGATGGCCTTGCGCCTTTTTTAATAGATCTCATACCTTAGATGCGTATCGTTTCAGAAAAAATCCCAGAAAACCTAACATACAGGGTGTTCCAAAAGTAACAGGACTGGTGCTGGCATTTTGACAATTTTGCACTGAGTGTCTTCAAATTTTCACAACTTGTGCTTTGAAGTATTGCAACTTAAATTGTTAAGTTTCAGAAACAATGATGAAATGCGGTTAGAGTTATGGTTACTATAGTAACATGACATCCCAATACCCGGGGCAACTTTTTTTCCTGAAAATGTGATATCTAACATTTTTGTATTACTGAAACGAGTATCCAATTCACCTATTATAATACAACATTTCTTGTTTATTTTTATTGGTTGTTTTGTTGTAAAGGTGTTGCTATACAACTCAGATTCAAGTATAATTTCATAATGATAATAATATGTATTCAATTTCCTGGAATATCACTATGTATAACAGTCCGAACAATTCACGGTTGAGTTTTTGAAAAGACCCAATTTGAAGTCAGTCATCTACCTTGATAGCGCGCCTGCGCGCAGGTCACCATTAAAGACCATGCAGCTATAGAGGAGCTAGGTCTTGAGGTCTAAAACCATGCATCATACTCTTCTGGTCATGCAATATCTACTTTTTTATTATTTACTTACATTGAGAACGGAATGCTAATTAGTGCTGTAAGACTTTTAAAGATGAGAATGACCTTCTCCAAATTGTCCAATCGACCCTGCGTGGCTTGTCCTCAAATGGGTTCACTCATGTGTTTTGGTCATGGATACAGAGTACTACTCTTGTACTGACAAAGAGGAGCCTACTTTTCAAAGTAGAGGATACATAGGAATATCACATGATGTAAAACAAATGTAATTGCCACCAGTTGTTGCATTTCAACTTTGATATGGCATGTACAAAATGATATGGCATGTACAAAATGCTTAATGTCTCTGTAATTATTTTGCGTGGAATGTTGCCCCGGGTATTGCAATGTCATGTTACTATAGCAACCATAACTCTACCCGAGTTTAATATATTTTGTTGAAACTTTGCAATCTTAGTGATGATACATGAAAGTACATTATGTAAAATTTTGAAGACGATTGGTGCATATTTGACAAAATGCCAGCACCAGTCCTGTTACTTTTGGAACACCCTGTATTCTACCATACCGTGCGCCTATCCATTTAGCAATTCAATAGTAAACTTTTTCTTGAAAAACAAATCTTCCAGATTTGTTGAATTTCCTAGCAGAAATTGCCTGCTCCCCCCCTCCGTCCCATATTCACGATCACCGGGTGTGACTATACATGTACATGTACATGATACTCACGTACCTTGATACATAAATTTTAGATTCATTTAACTCATAATTCATTTCCACAAAAGATAATTCTAATCTCATTCAAGAATGTGAACATTGTCACGGTCATACCAGGCTTTGACATTACCACGATTATGACGGCTTTGCAACCATTGTCAAGCTCATATCAGGCTTTAACATTACCAAGGTTATGACAGGCCTTGCAATATAATATAGCATTGTCATCCATGGTCAAATCAGGCTTCAACAATACCACGGTCATGTCAAGCCTTGCAATATAATATAGCATTGTCACAGTTAAGTCAGGCTTTAACATTACCATGGTCATGACAGGCCTTGCAAGTTGCAACCATTGTCACGGTCATATCAGGCTTTAACATTACCACGGTCATGCCAGGCCTTGCAATATAATATAGCATTGTCACAGTCATATCAGGCTTTAACATTACCACGGTCATGACAGGCCTTGCGATATAATATGACATTGTCATGGTCATAACAGTCTTTAACACCCGGGCTTTAACATTACCACGGTCATGACAGGCCTTGCAATATAATATAACATTGTCACGGTTATGCAAGTCCAGGGGATCTTGATTGTGCTTTCCTATCACAACATCCTTCTTTAATTTATTAGATCTAAAACTCATTGATAGAGCAATATTTTTCTAAGATGTTAAAAAGGTTGTCTCGTTTCCCTCATCCTAGATACGCTACAGGATGAGTGATTGTCGGACCATTCGGTTTCAGACATTAGAGATTTGAACCATTGGGTTTGGTACAATTGATTCGTACGATCAAATTGGATTTAGCATGGGTTTCGAAAGCCCATGGATTTACCCTTTGCATTCGTTTGACTTCGCTTCTTGAAAGAAATGCCTCCCCCTCGATCGCGCTCCGTTCATTTTGTCCGATCACCGGGCGTGTGTCATGTGTCAAAGTCCAAGATTTTATTACAGAATTTCAAGTATTAAATTTTAAGCTCAATAATGTTAAACAACTTTGGGCATATTGTGTGATCTGAAACACATTCATAAGAGACTTACTGCCGTTTTTCTTGAGAAAGTTTTTCTTTTGCAACCATGGGAAATCCTTGGACGTTTCCGTGACGTCATATTTAGCAGGTACTTTTAGGCAAGCACCATTTTCAAAATTGATTTATGATGTATAAAAGGTAAAAATTATTCGTGAAAATATAAAATCATGTCAATATATTCATTATATATCAGTTTACATAATTTTGATCAAAGCTACACTCGTTTTTCATTTAAGTACACCAATGCTTGAAGGTCATAAGATTTACATAATAAGAAACTGAGAATTATCTGAAAAAAAATGGCAGCTGAAATCTTCAGGTTCGATCTGTATTTATCAAATAAATCGATAATTTCTGCGCATTATGCTTTGTATTCTGTATTTATATGCTAGATATTTATTTTTATTCTTGTATCGTTTTCAGCCAGGCTAATGCTAAGTTCGTAGATGAGAATTACGATGAGGCAATTCAGGTAATTTTTACTTACTAGTCTATTTCAATTTTCATTTCCAAGAGGAGGGAAAACCCCATGATTCAGTTTTCAAAGTTTTCAAATTGACCTAGTTTTAAACCAATCAACGATCGACTCGCTAAACCAATCAGTGACAATGTCCACGGTGTTATAGCATGACGGTTACGACACATCTGAAAACGAGATTAGACGACTACGATCACTGATTTATCCAATAAATAAAATGGCCGCAATGGAACAGAAAACTAAGGTTGGTGCATTATTTTCTTCTACTGTGTATCAATGAAAGGATGAAAGATTTTTGTAGGTATCGCATTCGGTGATGCATTTAGTAATGTATATTTTGAACGTATTCTTTGCAAATTGATGCCCGGGGATAACATGAAATAAGAGAAAAACTGTTGAGTTTGAAATTCAAAACTACATTTAGTAATATTTGTTTATTTTTGTCGTTTATGTCTACATTGCCTAACGACCTCGGGGTATATATATGTAACCTACATACGATCATAAAAAGCCAATTGAGCATTTGAAACCACCTAATATGTTCTTCTTAAGCCATAATATTGTATTTTTAATTTGCGGTTACGCAAAAAATTGATTGACGGTTACGTGAACCTCATTCAAATATGTATCCCAGATTCATTGTTATTAATTTTGTCATATTCATCAGTACTTGATGCTAATTCTTCTTTTGCCTCTTCATTGCTATCTTTTTGGCTTAAATTGGGAAATAGATATTGAGAAATCATGAGAATGGACTAAAAAATATGAACTTGGACATCTCAGTCGGTAAGTTTACAGCTTATATTCCGCTTCTAGTAAACCACCTGGCAGTCTTTATAACCATCCATATATACGTCACCGCCGAATGGAACTAGTTGAAAAGGAAATCTTATCTGTGAATCTTGCCTACAGGCGAGAAAGAGGACATGCTGTCTTTCCCATCCGCCATTTTTTGTTATCGTTACCGCAAAAATTGTGGAAATCGCCTTGACGTAACCGTCATGCTATAACACCGTGATGTCATCTCAATACAGATTTACATTATAAGCGTATGTCATCTTTGAACCCTGGGGTTTCTCCCCCTCTTTTCATTCCATGTCCAATATTTAGTCTACTACATAGGCCAAGGGAAAAGTAATAGTAAGCCGTATGTAGCAGCTTACTATTACTTTACCCTTGACCTATGGTCTACTAGTCCCAGTCTTGCTTTAAGTCTGTGCTTTGTTGTTATAAATACATGCAGCTATGGTCAGTGACAGTCATAGCTTTGAAAATTCTTGTTGTGCATTCCAATGTAACTATAGTGCTGATATATAATAATATAGGGTGCGTTTTCAAACTAAACAGAGTGCTCCTTCCAAAATGAATTTGCTTAAATACCCCTGAGACTCTTATCTGATAGATAGAATGCACAAATAACACAAAAGTTTTGCTATTATAGTTAAAAAGTTCTCTTGAAATTTCAAAGTGATTTTACCTGTTAATTCTGTCAGTGGTTCGCCATTTTTGCGGAAGTTACACTGAAACGCAAACTCCATGAAATGAAACAAAATCACTAGAAAAAAACATGGCACTAATTGTGCGCATGTGCAGCACAGTTTAAACCAATCAGATTATTTGATTATTTTGTGCACATGAATTATTTGCTTCTGAGCACTTGCAAGATTACCACAATAAACAAACCTGGCAGAGACTAGCCTTAGCCTACTTCATTTTGGTGAAATTTCAGCTCAAACTCATGACAAATGCATTATGCATACGCTGGTGTGAAGCCTTGGAGACACTCATTTTCGTAAATATGATTTATGGTGTATACTTTTCTGCAGTTTGTGGGAGTTTGGGACATTAAATGTTAAAATTCAAGAAAATATGCCAATTATATGACCTATCAATTAATTTGTATCAGCATTGTACATCAGCTTATCTTTCCGTCTGATCAACAATAAGTACAGTTATACAAGAAATGTATACGAACTGAAAAATTCCCAAAAATCTTCAGACTGGCTTGTCATTTCCAAAAGTTCTGATACGTTACATTACCGACCGTGTGTGAAAATGAAATGTTTCTTTGGTGCTTGGATGTTTGCATTTTATTTAGTTCTCGTAAAATGAACGAACAAGCATTCCATTTTTGTTGGACAAATGACTGCACACACCGAGTGTCCGACAATAACCTACATGGGCGACATTGCCTCCCTATACTCTGCATAGTGTCAATCAGATCTAAAAAATAAACAATCAAAGAACCAAACACAGTGCAATAAAAACATTCATAATGTAATTGCAAAACTATTTTAAATCTTGGATTGCTTGTGGTTTCAGAAACAAATGTGTGGCCTGTGGTATTTTGATGCTTTCCATTGATTGATGTTTCTATAAAGATTATCCAAATAGTATTTTCTTCAGGCAGATATAATTTTAATAATTTGAGTGATTCGTTTTGTCCAAGTAAAAGGCAATCAATTTGTATGGATATCATAATTTAGACAGACTTCACCTTTTCCTAGATTTAATGCTTTGGTCAAACAAGGAAATATGTTCAATTTAGAAAATTTTGCTGAGGATTCAAAAATCCGGGTTTGATGCAATTTTAAGCAAAATGTTGGTGCTGGGACAGAAAAAATATATGAGTTGTAAACTCATTCAATTTTGACAAAAAGTAAGGAAAATCTCTTTAGCAGTCCCCATTCAAAATGCTAATGTTAATCCTGTTGAGGCTGTGTTTATATTTCCAGCTATACAGTGATGCTATTAGAGAAGACCAATCAAAGGCAGATTACTTTCTCAATAGATCACATGCTTACTTCAAGAAACAACTGTATGATGGTGAGTGGAAACTTCTTTTAAATAGCAGGAACTAATTTTATCTTGAATTTTCATAAAATACTTTATACAGCATATGTTTTTATAGAAGCATGTAATTTTGTGTGTTTTCTGACTGCTATAATTATGAAATTTTCTCTGAAAATGCAGCCTTGTTTTGTTTATTGATGACTTTTAAAACTTTGAATTTCACAAGAATTCCAAATTCCAGAATCCTTAATGGATGCTGCAAAAGCTGCAGATATTGATGCCAGTAATCCAAAAGCACAGCTGAGAATGGGGTGAGACTTATTTGTTACACCTCAATCTTCCATCATCCAAGAGAGTCATTTGCAATAATGCTTGCATCATATGTAATCTTCAAAGAAATTTAAATGTCAAAGAGTTTTGAATAATTGTAATCTCCAAAGAAATTTATATGTCAAAGAGTCTTGAATAATATGTAATCTTCTAAGAAATTTATATGTCAAAGAATATTGAATGATATGTAATCTCCAAAGAAATTAATATGTCAAAGAGTATTGAATAATTGTAATCTCCAAAGTATGTCAAAAACTATTAGCCACTTTGGGTGTTCATGTTATTGCTCACCACACATTTCTACTCATCCGCGTGTGAGAAGTGTTTTGATTACAGCAATTTAGTTAACCAGTGCCTTTTTACCTTTCAGTATTGCCTTTTACAACCTGGAAAACTACACAGATGCCAAAAAAGCATTTGAGAAAGGCTCTACAATGGATGGTAAGTTGAGGGCTCTTGTTATGAAGCTTTTCTAGACCTTGGAACAGACCAAATGTTGACATATTGTAAAGCCATCATTTTTGTGACTGGCTTTAAGTGTTTATACTCAGCATCTGTAAGTATTGTTACAATTTTGTAACCATTTGCAAGGGTAACATTTTGTCATTATGTTGCCTTGTTACATATGAGGGGCGATCAATAAGTAATGGACGCTTTTTTTACATAGATGCTTTTTATAGACCAATCTCTTCAATTCTTTCACCAGTGATACATCATTCAATTTTCTATCAACTCTGAAGATTTGGAGACAAAGCATGTAATATATTTTGATATATCTTTATTTCTGTGAAGGAGGTATGGGTACCCCGGGACCGACATCACGTCACACATTCTGAAGCTAATTAGCTCATTTAAAACGTGCAATGTAGTTTAATGCAGGTTGAACAAAACGAACCATGATGGTTATGAATTACACCATTTCAATACGCCATAATTGATTATGAATTTTGAGCCTTCACTTTGTGGCATTCATGCCACATTCATTCTTCAGGGCCCTCTACATGGGTTCCATTAAGTGCCACACACTTCCTCATTTTCCCCTTACTCAAGATTGAAAGACATGGCTGATTCCATTCTCTGACATGGTAGCAAACTGCAGTTGCACAGCTTGTTTTATTTCATCAATGTTATTTAACCTGCATTATTTTTCTATAGAAAAAAGAAGTATAGAAATAAAAGTCATGTGTGGCCAGATCTGGACTAAAGGGTGCATGCGCCAAGGACTTCATGTTCAGGTCCAGGGATATTGTATCTTGGACATTTTGAGATATTTGGGTGGGGCATTGTCCACATGGAGTAGGGTGTTACCTCCTCTTACTAACCTCTTCTTCCACATTGCATTCTCAAATCAACCTGCAAACCCTGACCATACAACACTTTGACCTTACAATACTTATCTTTTGTGTGTTACTACAGGCAGCATGATATTCAAACAACACAACTCTTGTGGCATATCAAAAAGTTCAAATCTAACTGATATGCCAAATCGGCATTACTTCAGAATATGTGACGTAAATGTCGGTCCCGGGGTACCTGTAACCCCTTCACTGAAATAAAGATATATCAACATGCATAACATATTTTGTCTTCAAATCTTCAGAGTTGATAGATAATTGAATGATGTATCACTGGTGATCAAAGAGATTGGTCCATGAAAAGCATCCGTGTAAAAATGTGTCCATTACTTATTGATCACCCTTGTACATGTTCTACAATTCTGTACTTAATTACTTGTTTTAAGTTTTCCAGACTTGCTGTAAATGAGCATAACTTCATTGATCAAAGGCAAGTACAAGAATCAATTATTTTAATTGTATTTGCAGCATCTGACACTCAGTTCTCCACATGGCTATCTAAGTGTGCTGAAAAGCTTGAAACGTCCACAAATGAGACCAATAGTGTTAAACAGGACACTGCTACAGTACAGGTAGCTACCGAGGAAAAAGAAAGAAAGGCTGAACAACAGAAACCTATTACACCTGCTGCTGTTGTTAAAAAGAAGTAAGCAATTTCTCATTAAGACTGTGACACTGTGTCATTGCTAGAGTACTGCTTGTTGATAAAGGGGGGGGGGGGAGCAAATGGAAGGTTCCTCTCTATACCAGAGATATACTATCAAAAAGTAGCATTTTAAAGAAAATTGTCAATTTGAAAAATTGGACCTCAGATTTAAAAAATGGGGTTCACAGGGTTTTGTATGAACTCCTAAGATTTACTGTCTGTAATCACTACTAAGAAAATACTCACTTTTGACAATACAGTAAAACTTGGGTGTATTAAATATTTTAGTGCACATAAATATGTGTTTCTTCAGATATGACTGGTACCAGACTGACACACATGTCATTGTAACAGTGCTCTTGAAGGGAGTCCAGCCCGACCAGCTAGTAACAAAAATTGAGGAAAGAACCGTACGTTTAGCTGAAAAAAATATATAAAATATACAGCCATCTAAAATAAATATGCACCTGTTCAATATTGATTTAACATTCATCGATAATGAACACTACATTTATAACTGATGTATAATGAATGAACACCAGTCTAAGATTTTCTCCTCTCTTAAAAGAAAACATGTATAACAACATCTAATAAAGAAAACCAATGTGTAGTATCAATATATAAATAGCACTAATGATATTCTTATATGTTTTATTTTAAAATTGTATAACAACAATCGACTCTAAAATATCATAGAAACATCTAGATACTCATATTGTTCTTTTTATGAATCGGGACAAACAAGGACTGGAAGGATTGCAATTTGAAAATTATGTGTCCTGTGCTCCTTTAAGTTAGAAACTTGATAAAATTAAGTGATATTTTATCGTATTATTTCAGCCTTGATAAAATTGATTATGTTTCTTTATTTTATTAACTTCTCTTCCCTTTATCTGATCTTTAGTTACAAGTGACTGTGAATGATTTCCACATTGATCTGACACTGGCACATAGAATATCACCAGATCAGCGCACCACAAAAGTCATGAAAACCAAGGTATGTGTTATGGCTAAACCCTATGCTCATTGTGTTATCTTCAACACTAATTGAGTAAAAGTAAATGTTTCATGCTGATATTGAAACAGGTATTTTTAAGTCACCACCAGAAGTGGTGACATATTGTTATACTAGTCTCCAACTTATTTGTGGATGGTTGTTGACCATTCAGCATTCCACGAGTGGTGTTTGGCATTTGTAACAAATGGCAGGTGGTGACATTTTGCATGTTAGTGCCTTGTTTCTATCATTTCACTATTGTTGTTCTACATAAATATTTTTTTTACTGCAGAAAGTATCATTCAGTACTTCAAGACTTGATTATGTATTTCAGATTGAAATAAAGTTGAAGAAGGTGGATGGTATCAGATGGAGTGCTCTTGAAGGAACTGTGGAGGAAGAAAACAAAGTAAAACACTTTACACCAGGTAAAGATCACATTACCCTTCCTTTGAGGGAACACATTACTCACACTCTTAAAATTATTGATAAATCAGCTTAATCACGATTTTCCATGCATGCTAATGAAGATTAAATAAAAGACTGGAGACGGGAGGGACTTGAGTACAATCAGTACTTCAATGTAGAAGACTGGTATTGGGAGAGACTTGAATACATTCAATACTTCAGTGTAGAGGACTGGAGATGGTAGAGACTTCAATACTAATAAATTGAATTAATTAGTATGGTTCTATTGTGGTTTTTGATTTGTTGGATGCAAAATGGTTATTAATCCTGAGCAGATGGGATTATATCACATTAAATGTCTCTCATAAAATGTTTCTTTGATGTCATAACACAATTTTGGCATTTCATTCTTCTTCATTGAAGTATTGAATGTACTCAAGTCTCTCCAATCTCCAGTCCTCTACACTGATCCCATCTTCAGTCTTCTACACTGAAGTATTGATTGTACTCAAGTCTCTCCCATCTCCAGTCTTTTACCATGAAGTATTGAATGTACATGTACTCAAGTCTCTCTCATCTCTAGTCCTCTACACTGAAGTATTGATTGTACTCAAGTCTCTCCCATCTCCAGTCTTTTACCATGAAGTATTGAATGTACATGTACTCAAGTCCCTCTCATCTCTAGTCCTCTACACTGAAGTATTGATTGTACTCAAGTCTCTCCCATCTCCAGTCTTTTACCATGAAGTATTGAATGTACATGTACTCAAGTCTCTCTCATCTCTAGTCCTCTACACTGAAGTATTGATTGTACTCAAGTCTCTCCCATCTCCAGTCTTTTACCATGAAGTATTGAATGTACATGTACTCAAGTCTCTCTCATCTCTAGTCCTCTACACTGAAGTATTGATTGTACTCAAGTCTCTCCCATCTCCAGTCTTTTACCATGAAGTATTGAATGTACATGTACTCAAGTCCCTCTCATCTCTAGTCCTCTACACTGAAGTATTGATTGTACTCAAGTCTCTCCCATCTCCAGTCTTTTACCATGAAGTATTGAATGTACATGTACTCAAGTCTCTCTCATCTCTAGTCCTCTACACTGAAGCATTGATTGTACTCAAGTCTCTCCCATCTCCAGTCTTTTACCATGAAGTATTGAATGTACATGTACTCAAGTCTCTCTCATCTCTAGTCCTCTACACTGAAGTATTGATTATCTCTCTTATTTTCAGGTGGTTCAGCGGAAGACAGAGTGAATAAGTACCCAAGCTCAGCACATTGTACCAGAGATTGGAATAAAATTGAGGCTGAAGTCATAAAGGAAGAAAAGGATGAAAAACCTGAAGGTGATGCTGCTCTCAATAAGCTTTTCCAACAAATATATGCGGACGGCTCTGATGAAGTGAAAAAGGCTATGAATAAATCATTTGTAAGTGTTTATAAAACATATGTCAAATTCTGAAATAACTTCAAATCATGTGCCATGATGTTAAAACAATCAATACTAGAATTTTTGTCAAGTCAAGGTGAATATATGCGTCAGTGTTTGGAATTCTGTATTCAAGTTATAAAGTTAGAGTGAAGTGAATAGCCAATAGCAATTTGTGTTATTTGAATACTGTTTTTAAGAATTATGAGAAAAACAGATATACATTTTATCACAATTGTGTGAACACACATTATCATTAGTATAAATATGTATGCATGGGCACATAAATGTGACATCATCTTAAATCTTTGTTAATTCACCATAGAGTGACTATTCTGACTAAATTTTATCTCTCGACCAGCTGCTCACCACTATAAGTGGTGGCACATTGTTATAGTCTCCATCTTTTTCGGGGACGGAAATTTGACATTGGGCAGTTAGTGTTTGGCATTTGGTAGGAAGTTGCATGTTAATGCCTTGTTCTAGGGTTATTACCAAAGTTTCCAGCCATTAAAATCTGACTGATTATTTGTTTTCAGCAAGAATCTGGCGGGACTTGCCTGAGTACAAACTGGCAAGACATTGCTAAGAAAAAGACTGAAGTCAAACCTCCTGATGGAATGGAATATAAGGAATACGAGAATTGATGAAATACATCATATCACTTTACTCAAAATCAGTGTTAATTAACTCAACATCAGTGTGCATGATCTCAACATCAATTTAAAGTATGAGTGTACTCAAAGAAAATTCATGAATATATTCAATGCTTACATGTCTTACATGTTGTGCCTGTGTAGCCTTCAACCCAAGTCATTGAACGTTTAGCCTTAGTGAAAACATTGAAGAAAACAGATTTGCATATATTAGGGATGTTCCCTTCAAAACAGAATGTTATAAATTGCAGATGACTGTGATCTTAACATGTGATTAAAAACCTGACTGAGGCGATAATTTGAATGTTAACAGAGACTGTTGTATAATCATGAACTGTTTCTGAATGATCCGTCTAAAAAGATCAAGATCTGCAGTTGATGTATTATTTAATGAATTGTTTTTGAACATGTGAATTCAGCTTTGGGCACGAATTACAATGTAACAACTGTCATTTGAAGCTTAAAGAGCAAGTCAGCAAAAATCATTCTCATTGTTTTGAATTTACCATTTTATAACAACAGGATGTGTTTTCAAATAAAATTAAAAATACCATTTTCTATTAAAAAAATGTTTTGTGTTTTGAAATCATGAACATGCCGAAACTTGAATCTCGTAAACGTTTAATTTTAATAGTGGAGAGGTTAAGCTAACGATGTTTTTCACAACGTAACCGTGAACGCAAAGTGCAAAAATTAACAAAGGAATGTATCGAGCGCTCATAGTTTTATGCGCGCTTAGTCTACTTCAGATACTCTTTCAGCTTCAGAGTTTCGGGTTTAGAACGGGAGATTCGAATATTTGACGTTGGGTCAACGGGAACCATTTTACTCGTGTCTATTGAACACTATGCTGTCAATTTTGATTTCGATGTACAGTTGAATTCTTGCTGAACACGATGATGTATGTCATGCATGATTTAGCGCCAAAAATCTTACAAAACGAGCTCGTTTAAAATATGTATTAGAAAACCAGCTATAAAACCGCATCAATGACATACTATAGAATCATTACACGCTATGGTGTAGTCTAAACAAACACTGGATTTGAACGGCTATTTATATGAGAAGGCTACATGAATTTGTATATGGTCGAGTGATACGTACAGGTTCAGTTTCGATTATATATGCAAAGCTTAACCTCTCCAATGAGCGCTTCATTGCCGTAAGTCAGAAATCGATGCGAGATTTTATCCTGTAAAATTCAGTACAATTAAGCTATAACTCTGCTTAAACATTAAAACCCTGCTCAGACCGCGAGTGACTTATGTATTTGCAGTGGCATAAGGTGGACAAAACTATAAGGCTGTTTGGTAAGAACAATTAACTGACAAACAATTTTAGGCATATATACTGTGTCATTCATTAGGTATGGAAAATACTATGGGATCTATTGTGGGCAAATTGTGTTATTTGACATTTAGACGAAATGACAAATATATGACAAAATGTACATCAATCATTCACACAGATGCAAAAGACAAGTGCAAAGATCAGTCAGCTGATTTACAAGGCGACCATTATGAATCCCAAGTGTGATATTGAATGTGTCTTGATTATGTTAATTCAATTCACAATAAATAGTTTATCGTAAAATCTGTCTTACCTGAACATCAGTAAAAACGGGCAAAAGTGTTCTAACAAAGTTTATTTATGGCAGATAAGACAAAAATTCACATAGAGAGATGTTCAGATAAGAGAGGTGTTCAGACATACAGGCTTCTATGAATAGGAATTGTCTCAATAATTTTTTTCATGATAATAATCCAACACAAAAGAATACATGTTGATAAGGGATTTATAAGTAAACGTAAACATCCATGATATTCAACATTACATTTTTCCAAATATAGTATAAATAAGATATATTTACTATTATATGACAGTATAATGCATGTGTAAACTATACCATATAATATCTAATAAATAAGAACTGGATGTAACTGGCATTATGATGTCCCATTTTGCATAATAGAGAAGTTGGAGACTGCAGACGTTATTAGTATGGCGTCTCATTTTGCTATAGAGAGGGTGGAGATTGCGCTCTTGCAATAGGCTGCAGCCACCACAGCTGAGTACCTATGCCATTCATTCTGAGTGACGCCATCTAGATAGTCACACACGCTCCTAATGATCATAAAACCATCTTTCCCAGTATCTTGGACACAGTCCAGTATATCACCTATTCCCCTGTCATAGCATATCACTCCGGCTGTTGTACCAAACATGTGGCGTAACTCATTCACACGCGAAATGTATTTTCCTGACCCCATTGGTCCAAAATGAACGCGAGATTTGCCCTTTCTACGCATGTATTCTTTGCCTTTTGGGGGTTTCGGGTGCTCGACTTGTATATTCTCCCCTGCTGGGTCTGTCATGTAAATTTTATCAGTTCTGGCTAAAGGTCTCGGCCAGTTATAGCCGGAATCCTTCAGCAAACCGAGTGATTCATGGAGATAATCTTCCCAATTTGCTTTAGTAAATGCGACACTTTCATTCCAATACATCAACATCTTGAGAGAAGTCTCAATGTTCTGGTCTGAGCAACCCCAGGAGCGAGTGCTAAAACTGAAATCGTCAGTTCCAGGTGTCCGCTGTACAGATTCACAGTTGACGTAGAGAGGCTGTTTGGTGTCGTCACTGTAGCAGACGACAACGTCACCCAGGCGAACATCCTGATAGAAGTCAGTATGGTGAGGTAAACCGCCAACAACGCCAACAACCAGGATGTGTTTCACATTTGTAAATATAGCTAGAAATAAAATGAAAAATAAAATTTGACTACAGTAGAACCTGTGGAAGTGGAACACCATTTGGAACCTCAAAAAGGTGTTTCACTAAGCATTTTCTACTGTACGCCATTGTTCGATTTCGCCCTGCATCAGACGCTTGGTCGTTTTATAGCATTACATACTACGTACCTAGCAGTTGGTTGATTGTGTTCCAAGTGTATGTCGCCTCCTGTCTACTATCGATGGGCTTGCATAGCTTCGTGAGAACAACATTTGCATTGCCAATTGCACCCAAAGTATAGACACTGTTTTCACCTGCAAAAAGATATGATAGATATCATATCGTGAAACAGTCAATTCAACATTCAAGCAAAGTAAAGCTGCAACAAGGCAATAACACGGAAAATGTCACAACCTGCCGTTTGTGAGAGAAGTAGAACGCCAAACACCAACCGGCAAAGACCGTCCACAAAAGTTGAAGAGCATTACCACTTTTAGTGGTGACATAAATAGGCTAGATCAAGTACGTAGGTGGGACGTTACTAACCTGCAGCTCTATGATGGACGTAAGTGGCTTTCTTGTCCAGTATAGCAGTAACAGCAATCATCTCACAATAGAACGTAGTGATTATCGCAAACGTTGGATCTGGGTGATCAGAAATCTCACTTAGATCTTTTGATATTGTAATATCTGAGGAAGAACATAAAATATTACAATTATATCAATCAAATATATCCACTTTGATAATATATTGTAACAGAAATGGCGTACGGCGTTCTTATTACTTTTCCATCCACAGTTTAAGTTTTTAATGATTACGTAGTTCTAGTTTTAGCTCAATTAATTATGTTTAAAGGATAAACTGCATTTTGAAGTTATAATCATCTTTACAATTTAACTATGTGCAGTAAAACCTATACATACGAACATCTGTAAATCAGAAACGTTCGTGTCCCAATGACATTCCGATTTGACAGGTTTTACTGCAGTAAAACAAATATTTCATTCCGAATCGGTGAACACCTCTGTCACTATCGACTTATGGAAAAATAATATCCTTCAAGAATCATAGGACATCTCATTAGAACACTACAATTATTAAACTGTAATATGTAGGTAAAGATTACCATGATCTATGCCTACAGGGGCAAGTGTCCTCAACCAGACGCCCTTGTCAATTTGCTGTATGAGGCCAAACTCTTCAAGCTCCATGACAGCTTTGATAGCATGTTGCTTGTCAATCAACTGTACACGGGCAACCCTATAAAATAATAATCATGATTGATAAATACCATTTTGATAAGTTGTACAATATGATTAAACCAGCTGCGTTTAAACCAGTTGAGGCCACGAGAACAATGAACATTTACCTCATCAACTGCTGTAAGTTGAGGGCACGAGGATTATGAATATTTACCTCATTAACTGTTGTAAGTTGAGGCCATGAGGATAATGAATATTTACCTTATTAACCGCTGTAAGTTGAGGCCACGCGGATTATGAATATTTATCTCATTAACTGCTGTAAATCGAGACCACGAGGATAATGAATACTTACCTCATTAACTGCTGTAAGTTGAGGCCACGGGGATTATGAATATTTACCTCATTAACCGCTGTAAGTTGAGGCCACGAGGATTATGAATATTTACCTCATTAACCTCTGTAAGTTGAGGCCACGAGGATTATGAATATTTACCTCATTAACTGCTGTAAGTTGAGGCCATGAGGATAATGAATATTTACCTCATTAACCGCTGTAAGTTGAGACCATGAGGATAATGAATATTTACCTCATTAACCGCTGTAAGTTGAGGCCACGAGGAATATGAATATTTACCTCATTTACCGCTGTAAGTTGAGGCCACGAGGAATATAAATATTTACCTCATTAACCGCTGTAAGTTGAGGCCACGAGGATTATGAATATTTACCTCACTAACTGCTGTAAGTTGAGGCCATGAGGATAAACCTCCTCCAGAGTATCAATTATCTTCTGCTTCTTGGCTAACCAAAGAAAGAATTGTGCAGTTTTTCTTTTTGTTCGAAGTACTTCCTTTTCGTCAACCTCGTTATCTTTCGTATCTAAATAAGTATTTTAACATCAAAAATACTCCTTTCGGAAATGTTATCGATCAGCGTTGTGTCAGGATCTCTGTTTCCAAACGACACTAATTTATGTTGCTTTAAACAATAAAAATAGATATTCATCGCATTAGACTATTTAAAGAGGCCTACTGTGTGGAAAAGGGGAACAAAAAATCCAATGAGTTTACTCAAGGGTCAGACATCTTAGTAAACATCTAGCAAAATGTCAGCACTTTTATTCTATTGCTTTTCATTAAAATTGCTTGTAGTGTTTTACTGAAGTTTGGCGATTTGATATATGAACGTCTATGATTGATTATCCAATATGTGATTTTAGAGTATTTAGAGGAGGGAAAAGCAAAATAAAAGTGAAAATATCTAGAAAAATAAGCTTTTTTATATGCATATTTTTGTTTTACAACATACAACAAACTAGGAAGCCTAGGTAACGACAACGCCATTGTATTTATTGGCCTTCTTGTCTGAAATTTGTATACATAAAGAATAAAAAATAGAATGAAAAAATCGAATTAGGGCATAATCAAGATATAATTGATGCAAGTACTTAATTGTAAAAAGCAGATACTGTAGAAATGTTGTTTTCGTTATGTGCAGCACATATTCCACATTCATGATACATAAATAGTAGCAACAGCAAAAAATTCACAACTTAATAAAAAAGTAAATAAAACTGTAGCTAAGCAGTGGGTTTGTAGCATCAATTTCAGACGTACCTTGGCATCCTTTTTCTATCAGAATAACTAAGTATTCGTAAGAACTATGATATAAGTCATATAGTCACTGAGAAGTAATAAAAGTAGACCCCTGAGAAGTATGATAAATTCATTAATCCCCCTTAGAAGAAATGTTGGACCCTAAGACGTAGAAAAGAGACCCCCCCAAGAAGTTGGGTATACGGAAGTACTTCACAGATTGGGAAACAGTTAAGCATTTTGTAAAAGCTGAACAGCTGGGTGAGACAAAAATACACTTACCCATTGGAAGCTCTGATCAATGTAATGAGGATAATATAGATATACATTTAGTTAGTATAAACTTTTAGATATAGCAACATGTAAATGAGGTTTTAAACTTAGAGTTACTTTAGTTTTATCAAATAAATTTGAAAATATCAACTTCTTTAAAAAAAGTAAAAATCGAACTGTTTAAACCATTCACCTATTATTTCAACGAATTCCCATTTTCCCTCTGCCTCAATAGACGTTGAAACAGAAAGGCAGTTTACAGAATGGACCTTATCCATGGGGACTTTCCACACCATAAAGCCATTCCGTCCCAATTCATCACCCGTCCCAACCTGTAAAGAAAGTTGGGATCAACAGCAACAGAAAACAGCAATACAACGTATTAACATTAACCGCGATTATACTAAGTCATCAAGGAGCATCGTAGCCGGTATGTAGACAATGAACACAATGAAACAACAAAAGTATACGGACCTGTAGCTTTCTCGTGTCCCAGCTGATCCAAAACTCCCTGTACTCATTCTCGTCCAGGAAGCCTTCGGTGGCCCTCTCAGCCACTACAGCTCCATTCGCACCTTCTTTTATCAATGACATACTATTCCCATGTGTACCTGGAAATTGGAATATCTTTGAAAGCCTATACTAATCATCTTCGCACGCTCGGTCTTCACTGCGTTTAAACCAACCGACGGCAGCAGATAGAGTGAACGAATGAACGATGGCGATGCTATTCAAATTAATAAAACAAAGAGAATTCTCAAGAATGAACGATAGTTCAAAAGTACTCAACCATAGCAAAATACAACACAAATAAAAATGAAACGTCGCACAAACATTCTCTGAGATGAAAACATAATATGGGCGGGCCCGGGGGCGGGCCCAGATATAGAGCGGGCCCTGCCTCCACTGTATTGTACACTGGTCTACTTACAACATATTTCTTTTTATCATTCGAGTATTTATGATAAAAGACAGCTAAAAGGAGGCAATTGTCACCGGGGTAGTAAAACCTGGATTACGGGTCTTACCGATTATCACCTCGTATGTGTCATCGACAGTGTCACCGTATACCGAGGAGAGAGCGATGTGGGCGTCAGACTTGGCCTTCACCCGGAACTTGATGTTGGACTTTTTAGAGACGTGTATTTCTGGTAAGTACTGGTAGTCGTAGTGAGCAGGCGTGAGCACCGTGATGTAGTTCTCTGCAAGACAATAGGCAAATTTTCATAGATTATATGACTTTCATTTTTATACTTATCTTTTTATCTGGCTATGTTAGTTTTACTTACAGAAAGTCGTATAAAAAGAGCCTTATCTCCCATTTACTTGCTCTTACTTCCGAGCCTTGTCTGGTTTACTACTGAGCACCTTATGTGCCCTTATTCATAGAGAGCCTTCTCTCATTTATCAAAAGCCGAATCTGACTGTAAAAATCAAGAGCCTTATTCAGATTTAATTGCCAAGAAACCTGTCTGACTCTTCCAAAAAACCCGTGTCTGGGTTCACTTACCAAAAGTCTGGATTGATTTATATAAACCTAACATACAAAAAAACTTATCTGGGTTTACGTACTAAGAGTCTTATCTGGGTTCAATTACCAAAAAGCCTGGAATGACTTTCCAAAAGCATTATACATGGCTTTACTTACTATGAGCCTTTTCTGGGTTTACTTACTAAGAGCCTTATCTGGCTTTAATTACTATGAGCCTTCTCTGACTTTACTTTCTAAGAGCCTTATCTGGCTTTACTTACTAAGAGCTTTATCTGGCTTTACTTACTAAGAGCTTTATCTGGCTTTACTTACTAAGAGCTTTATCTGGCTTTACTTACTAAGAGCTTTATCTGGCTTTACTTACTAAGAGCTTTATCTGGCTTTACTCTTGGAGGTGGAGGTGGTATTTCCAAGTACTCATCTTCTATTGTTTCAGGTTTATCCAACTTCACAGCTTTAAACTCAACATCAATTCTCGCTATTTCGAGAAACTCCTGTTGTTTCATTAGGAATATCGCTTTCTTTAGAAATGTCATGTAATCCATGGGGAATTTTTCTGGTTTGAAAATAGTCTTGAAGTAAAGCTTAGATATGCTCTGTTTATGCTTGGGAGAACTGACAGATTGGTTGAACCAGAACCATAATGTGCGCATTTCCTAAAATATAAGATACAAGACATTTACGTTTATGAGGCACGTTGTTCGTTAAATATTTAATTTTATATATCAAGTTATTTCAGACGTTGGCTAAATTCGTGAATTAAAGTGAATACAGTACATTTAGATCAAAATCAAATACGCGAACCTGTAAACCAGAACTTCTGTTAGTCCTCTCTCCTAGATCCGCCAAGCATGATAACGCATTGTCTGGTGGTGCCCTCTTTTGAAGTCCATCACAACTAGATAGCGACGTGTTATTATTGAGTTCACATTGTTGCTGAGGGGGCGAAATGATTCTTTGCAATGACAGGCCTAACTTCAGGTTGTTTTTCCGCTTATATGATGTAATATTGATCGTTCCTGGAACACAACATTTTACATATTTTATTTCGTATAAACAGTTTGTTGATATATTTACTTTTTTTGATACATGTATCATCTTTACCAAGTTGTCCTGCAAAGTACCACACAATGTGATCTTGGACTTTATTAATTTATAAAATCATATTTTTGAGATGCAAAGTCACATTTTTGAAAAAGGCAATATCTGTACGGAATTGGGAAACTTTGAAACCACATTTGATTTATTCTTTTAACCTTAGGCTAATCCTTGTTTAATTATTTGTCCCTGTATATAATTATTTGCCTGAAGATTTGACGTGAGTTTTGAATAAAAAGCAGCTAGATAGGATCTACTTTGCGGCAATGTCATTTAAATACCAAATCTAAATAGAGTAGCTCTGACCGGTAAATATTTTTTTAAGTAATGAAAATCGAAAAAGTAACTATTACTGTGGGCGAAAATGAAAAAAATGTGTTAATCGCTTTTGTGTGTGGAACCATGGGCTTTTGATGTATCCATCACGGACGGTCAAGTAAGTTTCTGGCGAAAGCTGGAGCATAGATTATAAAGAGGACTGGAAATAAGATGGCAGTCTATTTCAAATCTGCCAACTCGTGTTGGCCTATTTGTCACTATTGACTCAGTTGTTCATCTAGTTTTACTTACCTTAGATGCTTAGTAATCTATTAAGTATAATATTGTTTCCAAAATTATTGTCATTTGCGATAATTAGTACAGGTCAGCTGCCATTTGCTTGGCTTAATCGTACCAGTCCACAAAATCAGTGAAATCATATTAAAAATACCAATAAAACTTTAAAATTGAGGCAGATGCGATACAAAGAGACTTTATTAATACAGATACACCCTCAAAATGCAATCTGATTTTCGACACCGTTTCGGTAGCAAATTTTGGTGTCGAAAGGTTTCGGTGCCGAAACGGTGCCGGAACAGCGCCGAATCTTTTCGATGCCAAACGGTGTCGAATTATATTGGCTGTGTATACAGGTTACAGTCACCAAGATGAGCTAATTTCAGGCGAGATTCGGGAAATAAAAAGGTAGGTCATTCTTGTTTCCAGTCCTCTTAAATAATCTATGCTCCGGCTTTCACCAGAAACTTACTTGACGTCCGTGGTATCCATGTCACTTGGGGAATAGATTAATGAAGCATCATCCGGTCGAACGCAGGGGTTCACATCATTCAATCTCAGAGTGGAAGGTTCTAGACCCCTGCGTTCGGAGAATGTAATCATAAATACTACAATAGCAGACGATCCAAGTAGAAATAATCTTGATTCACATTTTTAATTCACATCGAAATTTAGTCAAAAGTAATTTAATATGATTTATTTACATATAAAAAAACATCCATTTAGTTTTGAAAAGTGTTTATCAACTTTGAAAATTTAATTTTCTCTGAAAATGTGACCATAGAGCCCATGTTAAAAATACGTACAAAAGAGTGAAACATCTTTTTTTCTTGTTGTCGACATACAGTACATGTACTTTCGGTTTAGTAATTATTAAACACAAAAGGGTTATATAAAAATTGATCCACTAATTCTACTTAAGTTTAGCATTTTTTTCCCTTTATCTGCCATGGTCTGTCTGTAACTTGACCCGAATTAGCCATCTAGTGGTGAAACTGGTAACTACCTAGGCCTACATGCCAACTGTTTAAACTGCTTCTTTATTCGGTACATTAAATATTCCATAAATACTAAATAAAACAAACAATTTACCAAACCTTTACCCAATCTATCGAATGTTTTTTATTTTATCGAATGTAATAATCTATACAATTTGTATTCGCTAAATAGTTTCACTTGTTCTTTGTGTTGCATTCATATTTGATATTTATACATGTATTTGTGTGATGTAGCGAATCAATTTGTTTTCCTTAACGCATGTATAATTCAATTAATCATTTGTACCGAATGCCACATCCGATAAATTTCGTCATTTTTCGATACGTTACGAGACTTTCAGTCACGTGATATATTTGAACGATATAGAATACCTATGCGGCCATTTTGCAAATCAGTCTCGAGGTCACGTGACAAAATATCGAACAACAACAAAAGTTATCGAATATTACCGTATTCCATTCGGTAAATAGCAAATTAGCTTTCGGTAAAATGCATTAACTATGTCATAGGAAAATAAACCATGGTAAATACAGGCAAACTTATTTCGGTAGGGTTCAAATAGAAATTCAATATTGTGCATATAATGTGTTACTCTTAAGGAATACCATAACAATTTACGCAAAACATATCATTTAACGAATGAAATATGTAATTTTATGCACATAGTATGAAGTGATTGGCTATTTTGAAAACCTATTCTGTAACAAACATATTAACGTTATTACCGAATTGACAAATGATCTAGTGAATATAAATATTTCATATATTTGTATTTAATGAATAACGAAGCAAAAATAATGCCATAGCCAACAAGCACCTGGGTTATTGTACAATAGGCGCTGATAGCCAAGTTCTTACAGACATGCATCTAAGTACCAATTTATTTCGGCATAGGTAGAGATTGGCACGCCAGCCTCGCCGTGATCGTCTAGTGGTTAGGACCCTACGTTGTGGCCGTAGTAACCCAGGTTCGAATCCTGGTCACGGCAAGTGCCAATCTAATTTTTGTTTCTCGATTTAATCAAAAGTACTGATGTGTAACATCTTTGTCGAATAATCAACAATTTGTGCATCCCATATTTTCATGTCCGCTCCTTTGCACAAGTCACCCCGATGCTGTTGTCAAAAATGGATATATTATTAAAAATACAAAAATATAAAACATTTCGCATTTGAAATGTGTTTCGAGCTAACCAAATGGTTTTGGTTTTTGGTTTTGGTTTTATCGATTAGAAGAAGCTTGTTATGAGGTAGCCTATAATAAGTAAATTGCAAACCCGGGCCTCAGGTTTAAACCATATAAGTTAGTTCTGACTTTATTCTGTCGGTCTTATGGCTGGTATTGTAGGTTCCACAGCCTCAACTCTCTTTTAGAGAGAGAGGAGATTTCGTTTTCAATTTTCAGATTCAGAATCAAGCTTCGGACGTAGTGATTGAGCTTGGGAACCGACGATGATTCAGAATGGTATTCAATAATATTTATTCCGTCTGTCAAACAGATGGCATTCTAGCCTCGCCGTGATCGTCTAGTGGTTAGGACCCTACGTTGTGGCCGTAGTAACCCAGGTTCGAATCCTGGTCACGGCAATGCCTTCAAAATTTTATTTTTCACAGTAATCGAAACTACTGATGAGTTTCATTTTTAATTTTCAATATTGTAACGTTTTTTAGTATCATATATGATAGAAGCACTACATCATGAAAAACTAGCTAATTGAAGACCTTGACTTATTTATTTGAACAATTTATTGGGAGCGTAGGAGATAAATATTAACATAAAACACACACTAGTTTAGTGTATGTGTAATTAGAGGTACGCCTTTGATAATCGGTAAATAAAACACTTCACTCTATGCCCCTCTTTAAGAAGTATATTGCCTAGTGGCCTTCCTACCTTACCTGACGATATAATAAAAGTCAGCGTTTCATTGTTTTAAGTAATTAGATAGTTTTGGAATTAATTCTGATCAATTGATCATTGTGAAGAGGTTAGGGTGGTATGTACTTTTAGTTACATAATCAATTAGATACCCTAGTACTGTTTATGGTACAAGAGGAAATGGATTGAGATTGGGATTGGTGACATTTTGAGGAAGGGTGATTCGTCCAAATGATAAATGGAAGTTTGATGACACCGCACTTTAGTCACATATTTGGCACAAACGCTCACATTAGTAAAATAAACACAGCACTATTTTGAACTTATGATTTTAATAACAACTTTGACCAGCATTGAAAGCCCATGGACCAGGCAAATAAAATATTTTCTGACTCTGTTCCCTTCGGCTTGTTATGGTTAGGAGGAATACTATCTCTGTTGCTCAGCTTCTTATCATATCGTGGTATCTCAAGTTGATAACCCTTTATATCCTGTCACCTTTTGCTTGACAAACCATGGTCAATTCAGACCGAAAAGGGTTAAACTAGAAAATACAGCTGGTGTACCTAATTAAGAAAACATCACGTATTATGTAGTTCTGTACTGTAGCCAAAATAGGTCTCAAAAATAAAAAACAAATAGAATGATTAGACTTCTAATCTATAAATAACTAGTGCAGTCTCCACAGTTAGTTGTAACTGAACCTCTGTAAACAGTAACACTCACTTGTCTGTTAAAATGAATCATTTCTTCCAGCGGAATATTTGGCGTGGCTCTATTTCCATTTCTAATCATAGCAATTGCAAATGCACATCGCCCATTGTCATGGGGAACATAATAATTAACTTCTGAAATTTGTATATTACCGTGGTCGATTATCAATTGTCATAATTATTTTCAGTTCATTTCGCATACCTATGGCCGACTGTCAACATTGGTATGGACGATTATCATTAAATCGAGAAGAACTATCATAGTTGTCATAAATCATATGTGCCAAACTAATCAAACTTACCTTTCTGATCAGAGGCATCCTCCATTCTAATGCCTTGAGCTGATTCAGTGATTATCTACCAATTTCTCTTTTTTTTATTTTGTCTGTTTAGCTACTTTTGGATAAAATGTCAAATCTACGGAACATACAAATAGGTTCTAAAGTAAATCCAAAACAGTATTTGTGATTCCAAGTTAGTAAGTGTATTCCAGCATCTGTGATTACTCAAGAGTTATAAATAAACTGCTAAAAGACAGAAGCCCCGAGAATTCTAGCTGTTTTCCAGTCTGTTAGCGCTGTTCCTCGACCAGCTCACCCATCCTGAAACTATCTGAGAATATTTAATAGTGATTTTGTTCCAATTACCTGCTTTTATACCTAGACATGTTCGTATGGTAAGTGAATTAAAACACACTAACTGCCAGTGGCTATCAATCTCCAAGCATATACCAGGTGGATCCAAGCAGATGTACAGAACTACAGGTCATTGTATGTGGAGAATGGTACATCATTAACAAGGGCAGGAGTCGCAATCTCGGCTGTCTTCAGGGGCGTAGCCAGGGTCGAAAATAGAGGTGGAAAATTTAAATAGGGAGACAAAGGTACTGAGCAGATCTGTCAATGTAGCAATACGCATCGTTTTGAAAGAATTCGATAAAAAACGTCCGCGACAAATATTCAAACACTAGTACTTTTATTGATAAATGTAATCTACGCCAAACATATTTGCCATTAGATCATACAGGTAAATAAACCAAGCATTTTTTCACTCTGCAAAGATACTGCGAAGTTCACATAACATGTCAGTCAAAGTAGGACAATAGAAAGGTTCATTAACACGCATTTGGGAGAATTTGAACGTTAACGGAATTGTTGTCCATTTAAGTCTCTGGGAACATTATCACAACTATTTTCCTCGTACATTCATATTCAAGTGGGACGGCAAATACGTAAGGCCAGTGAGGTTAAAATAGTTCATAGGGACCGTCATTTTATAAGTTTCACGCACACATCCTTCAAAAGAGTCCCCGGGACATCTTGTACCAGTGCGGTGGGGAGTTATTTTAATGTAACTGCCACTCACATTATACAAATTGATTGGTATGGGAACATATTGAAATTTAACAGATTGGTATGGGAACATACCGATATTTGTGGGTTCAGCGGGTTCAGTCTGGACGGAAGCAAGCAAAAGTTCGCTTATATCAACTCCTCTTGGGAAAGAGTGCTATCTTATCCTCCCTCATCGTGTTAAAACTTAACCGAGAACCTACTCAAACCAATGGGTCAATGCCCCACAAGCACCATGGGATGTCCACATAATCGAAACGTCAGCAATAAAACTATATATGATACAATTAATATCACACCGGAAAAGCCTGGCAACTGTAAAGTCATGATCAGATACCGTTGTCACAAATGGCGGACATAACCGTCGTGACTTTACCGTTGTCAGGCTATTCCGGTGTGAATATGAATATTTGACGATGAAGTCGGTTATGCCATTTTGAAACTCATTAAATCTTTCAAAGGAATAATAAGTTTCTGATATTCTGGGATCATTGATATTTCTCTTCATGTTGTGTTTTGTAAAGTTCTGTCCACATTGGCACGTGTGCTCACATATGCATGATAAAAAGAGAGTATGTCAATTTGGAGAATTTAACAAAATGATAAAATATATCCACACCCTTCTCCAGCAGTTTTTAAAATATTGATAACAAATAAATAAATTATTTTACGTTTTTATTTTCCATTCTCTCTTACGATTTACTGTTCTATGTTCAGCATTTACAAAACTTGACATTTGATGTAACCTAATACAATATGTTCAATCTAATAATGACGGAGAAGTGTACCTTCATGCAAATTTAAAAAGTTGACATTTCACTATTAACATTCAAGGATATTGCAAATCCTTAAACTTCAAAAAAACACATGAAACCATGATTTCTGTTAATTCTGGTTTATGTTTGATAAAACCAAATTATACAGTATGCATTCATATAAAAACTGTCATATGTACTGTATTTATGTCATGTCAGTTGTGAACCTTCGTTAAAATGTCAGCTCTGAATAATCTAAGGCTATGAAACATTACGATATAGCCAAGCTACGGTGACGATGCCCAACACATTATGATGAAGCTTCATCCCCTATGCTGGAAACTGACCTACATTGATGGCGCACAAACTAAATAATAGAAACGGACCGACTAAGATGATGCCCAGACCCCATTTGACCCATGATGATGGAGCCCTACCAACCATGGCGAAGCTTGATTCCCTTTAATTGAGCCAAACATACAATAAAGGAACCAAAGCTACTATAACGAAGCTTGACCTCCTTTGATGGGGCCAAACATACAATAAAGTAGCCCAGCCCACTATGATGAAGCTTGATCCCCTTTGATGGAGCCCAACATACAATAAAGGAGTCCAACCCACTATGATGGAGCCTGATCCCCTTTGATGGAGCCTAACATACAATAAAGGAGTCCAGCCCAATATGATGAAGCTTGATCCCCTTTGATGGAGCCCAACATACAATAAAGGAGTCCAATCCACTATGATGGAGCCTGATCCCCTTTGATGGAGCCTAACATACAATAAAGGGAGTCCAACTCACTATGATGAAGCTTGATTCCCTTTGATGGAACCAAACATACAATAAAGGAGTCCAGCCCACTATGATGAAGCCTGATTCCCTTTGATGGAACCAAACATACAATAAAGTAGCCCAGCCCACTATGACGAAGCTTAATCCCCTTTGATGGAGCCAAACATACAATAAAGTAGCCCAGCCCACTGTGATGAAGCTTGATCCCCTTTGATGGAGCCAAACATACAATAAAGGAGTCCAGCCCACTATGATGAAGCCTGATCCCCTTTGATGGAGCCCAACATACAATAAAGTAGCCCAGCCTACTATAATGAAGCTTGATCCCCTTTGATGGAGCCCAACATACAACAAATGAGTCCAGCTCACTATGATGGAGCCTGATCCCCTTTGATGGAGCTCAACATACAATAAAGTAGCCCAGCCCACTATGATGAAGCTTGATCCCCTTTGATGGAGCCAAACATACAATAAAGGAGTCCAGCCCACTATGATGAAGGCTGATCCCCTTTGATGGAGCCCAACATACAATAAAGTAGCCCAACCCACTATGATGAAGCTTGATCCCCTTTGATGGAGCTCAACATACAATAAAGTAGCCCAGCCCACTATGATGAAGCTTGATCCCCTTTGATGGAGCCAAACATACAATAAAGGAGTCCAGCCCACTATGATGAAGCCTGATCCCCTTTGATGGAGCTCAACATACAATAAAGTAGCCCAGCCTACCATAATGAAGCTTGATCCCCTTTGATGGAGCCCAACATACAACAAATGAGTTTGATCCCCTATGATGAAGCCTGATCCCCTTTGATGGAGCCCAACATACAATAAATGAGTTTGATCCCCTATGATGAAGCCAACCTACAATGATGGAGCCTGCCACCTAGATTTAGTAAGTTAAAATAGTTATATATTATTTAAATAATATATTAAAATATTTGATTTGAGCAGTTCGCAAACAACTGATTCTGTAGTATTGATTCTATGTGGTCAGGCCCTACGCAAGTAATGAATGCATTCATATATTTCACAACAAAGTTCAAGTCTAACATGTAAACTATTCTTGGAATGTACACCCGTAAACGACAGTTTCTCTATATATTCATTTGAGATATTTAACATGTGATACGAAACTCTACAAGGCATTAACATGCAAAATGTCACCACTTGCTCCTTGTTAAAGACACCATTTGTTAAGACACCGACTGCTGAATGCCAAACACCAACCACTGTCACAACTTGTGGTGGTGACATAACAATGAGCATCTGTCATCGTACAACACTGTTACGAACATTTACAAGTTATTACAAGCATTATTTACAGTTGAGCATTATAATTTAAGTACATTTCAAGAAATCATGTTCTAGTTTATCTACCTCAATAAGGCCACTGGAGCTATAATCAATAATCATGGTATTAATTATATAAATATATCACCTGGGGGTCAATAACAGAAACTTCATAAAGTTACGAATTCGTAAATCAATTGTTGTAAACATGGATATGATGACTTCACAGTAAGAGAACAATGGACTTTGGGAACTCTTAACTTTACGAAGTTTCTGTTAATGGCCCCCTGCTTACATTTGTTCCAAGCAATTTCTCTATTCTATGTACTGCACTGTTACCTTTAATCTCTCAAATATTAGGGCAGCCTACAACCACCCTCACAATTTAAAATCTTGAAAATAGTGAAAGTTCATATCATTAAAATCTGCTCTGTATCAAATAAGTGTAAATTTCTCATATTTTCTACTTTATATTTTCAATAGGTTTTAAATGTGAGGGTAGTTGTAGACAACCAAACCCTTTATGGGAAAATATTACCTTGGATCATTTCAGAGTGTACTTTACAATAAAAAATGAAGAATATGACAACTAGTTACATATCCTGGTGATTTCACTATTTTTTGCAACTTTAAATGCGACCATATACGGTATTCGGCTTGAATGGTAATTCTATTGGAACTATAGAATATACACTCCTGTATACTTATTTTTGTAATATATATTATATGCGATAAAAATGCTAATATTGCAACTTGACATTTCCATATTGCATATTCTTCACTTGGAAAACATGCTTAATGTTAATCACTTTTGACAAATAAATTCTGATTTACCTTCTGGTTTTCAGTTGTTAAAAAGCATTGACCTATTTTCATCCAGAAGGGGTTAAGTACATAAGTAGATTAATCGTTGCACAAATAACTGATTTGCAACAGAAATACCTACACAGACAACACTGACTCATTGTCCTCTATTTCAACATTACAAGTACAGAATGTATAGAGTATTAACATGCATCATGCAGTATCATGATTCTTTTCAGAACATTTGAAACATTTATTAATATACAGGTAATGTATTCCTTATTTTTTTCACCCAAAATTCAACGATAAAATCATTGAGGTAGCCATTTTGATACCTTAGCACATTATGGCAGGTATCGAAATTGTATATTTATCAATACTTAAAAAAAACAAAATAGTGAACACTTTTCTAATATCATAATACCAGCAATACCACTCAGCATAGCTTGATATACTGGAGTTTGGAATGGCTTAACATATAGGCCTAGTGTGGAGATGAAGAAAGTGAACAATGACACATGCATGCTAGACATGCTTGTATAACCTAATGCAGTAACGGACTTAGAACTGTCAACAGATGGCAGACAATTTGATGGGTTGATTTCATATTTACAACATGTACTGCACTGACTTTTAATTCTTTAACACATAAGTAAAGGATTATGAATAAAAAAAGGATTTGTTTGATTAAGTTAAAGATTTACACATAAACCATTGAGGGTAAGGAGAAGTCAACAAGTGACCTGCCATCTATACAATTCCTAATTCTTATTTAACACTTATGACAAATTGATGATTAAAATAATGCCTTTTGAGAGCTGCACATTTAAATTAACAGATCAAATAAAATGATCTAACAATGGTCCTGCATGGCAGAACTAATTACTTTATAGTATATTTTTTTGTTATATGGTCCCGAGGGTATCACCCATGTACTACAATGATGCCATCTATGTTCCAAGGACCAAGATTGTGTGATACATGTACTTTATGATGTCACACATTTACCCAGGTGATGTCATACATATACCCTGGTGTTATCATACATATACCCTGGTGATGTCAGCCATGCAGCGTGATGATGCATCGAATATGAATCAAAAATGGCTGATGTTGTCCACTCAAAATCCTTTTCCATCTTCAGTTATGTTCTTCAGTAATTTTCAGTGGATGATCACAAACGATTGATGAAGGATGCGCAATTCTTCACACTCCCTCATTACTAAATGGTGACAACATTGGGTCATGTGTCTGAGAACTACTGGGTAAGTTCGATTGCTGGAATAGCATTTGCTGCGGGACTAGAGTTAATGGAACCATAGGATCACTGGTTGATTGCGCCACCTGGAACAACAACATGAATTCATTAGTACAGATTGACTTACACAGGGTTACCAAAATGTTTCAAATATCAATGCCCTTTCTTTTCCCCAATTAAAACATTAGATCCTTAATCCTGTAATTCAATGAAAAGAGAGATAAAGTAACACGTTCATTGAATACATGTATATGATTTTAGTAGACAGTTTTGATTTAGTTTTTTTTATTTCATGCATGTTTTAAGTAATGGTAGTTTTAAAAATTCCACTCACTTTAGAATTTTCAGACTATTTTACTTAACAGACTGTGGAAACCTTATTATTAGTCAAATGTGAAAATCTCTTAAATAATTAAAAATTAATCCATTTCCTAAGAATTGAGTTGCCTTTGGACACTTGGTACTTACTGGGGCCTGCACTATGGGACTAGGAGACAACAGATTCTGTTGTTGCATTGTGACTACTGGAGTTGTCACTGATGTACTAGAGTCTACAATCAATTATTAAAAATTTCTAAATATACAAGTATTCACTGAGAAGGGATTAGATACAGGGAAAATTACAAGACCAAACACTGTTATCAGTCAATAGGGACCTATCCTAAACTGAACAGTGAATAAAGGAGTAATCTCATGCTTATTGTAAAGAAAGAAAATGGCATGGCAACTGCTTTCTTAATTTCTGATTGAAACACAATATCTATTCATACAAAAGCAAACTTGAGCATCGTTTCAATGCATTATGTATATTCAATGGGTTCACTTTGTTTACATCATTGTAGATAGTTTTTTTTAAAATTTGGTTTAAGGCAAAGCACTGAATAAATGGTCCCTACTCTGTGGCATTTGGGTAGCAGCTGGTGATCCTGTTGCATTAATCATTGGGTTTGTCATTGACAGCTGCATGGCAATGTTCTGAAGCTCCATCTGTTGTTGCATGATAGACTCCTGCAGCTGTAGCTGTTTCTGCTGTAGCTGCAGATGTAACTGTCGTTGAGCTGCACTTAAGTGAACCTAAAATGAAGAGTCCAATACAAAGTTTGAAAAAATATAATTTAAACAATATTTCTTGTGCCTGGAAGAGGTTAAAACTTTGTTTACCTTTGTTTACACCAATGCATAACTTCCCTCCTCATGTGATAGGCCCCCTCTACCATGTCAACCACCTCCTATATTACTGAACCATTAAACTAGACTAAGACCATTTCATTGTATGATGCAGTATTGTTTACAAGTCTTCTGTACAAATACCAATTAAATAATATGAACACTGACCGACAAATGCCCACTGCAGAGACTGTCTACAAAAAAGGTGGAGACTATAACAATAGTGGTAGTTACATAAAAATGAATAATGATTACCTTGGGCACAGTTCCTTCAAATCCCCCTGAGGTTGTATTCGTACGTTTCCCTAATTTGGGACCTGAGGGAGGTAACTCAACAGGCCTACTGGGCGAAAGGCTTGCTTGGGGTACCTCCTTTGGCTTTGCTGATTGGGTGCTAGGAAGCTGAAAGAACAGAGACATTTAATCAACATATTATAAGTTACTAAAAAGCTGCCTGAAGAGACACAAAAATAATGACAAGCAAACTTGTGATCAGTTTTTAGAATTCTTTACAAAACTTAATCAAAACTATCACAGAACCATAACAACTTCTTCCTATAAAAGACTGAGGTAATCAGGTTCAGTAATCCTACGATATAGCTGTTTTAACATTGTATCCTTTAACTTACATTATATTGTGAGTCAGGCTGGACACTTGTACTAGGCTGTGGAGCTGAAATATAAAGATTTTCATCACTCAGTCCTTTAAACATTATTGAAATGCTTGAATCATCATCTTTGCTCAGTTACAAATCTTCCAAGTTTTCCAGCATTAAGTAAAATTGGGAATAGTAAATGAGATAATAATTTCAATATTTCCATGAACACACTTTAAGATCTATTTGAGAATGTGAAAAGTTTAGACAATGTTTTAATTTAAGGTGATAATATGCTTAAACCCTTGTAAAATCATAGGCCAAAGAGCTTAAATTGTAAGAGGCATTTACCATCAAACATCCTATCGCTGTAGACAGCCTGTATGGGGAATGAGTCTGAAGGACTGTTGGAATGGACCCACAATTCCTTGTCAGATTCAGCAAGCTTTTTCTCAGGTTCTCCTGACGGGTCAAATATATCATTCAAGCTAGAAAACAAGAAACAATTATTAACTTAGGACCCACATAATAATAAACAATGAAGCATACCTTATAACTTTGTGAGTATATACAATTAAATATACCTTATAACTTTGTGAGCATAAACAATGAAGCATACCTTTTAACTTTGCGAGTATATACAATGAAGCATACCTTATAACTTTGTGAGTATATACAATTAAATATACCTTATAACTTTGTGAGCATAAACAATGAAGCATACCTTTTAACTTTGCGAGTATATACAATGAAGCATACCTTATAACTTTGCGAGTATATACAATGAAGCATACCTTATAACTTTGTGAGTATATACAATAAAGCATACCTTGTAACTTTATGAGTATATACAATGAAGCATACCTTATAACTTTGTGAGTATATACAATTAAATGTACCTTATAACTTTGTGAGCATAAACAATGAAGCATACCTTATAACTTTGCGAGTATACACAATGAAGCATACCTTATAACTTTGTGAGTATATACAATAATGCATACCTTATGACTTTGTGAGTACATACAATGAACTCAGGTTTAGAGTTCCATTGGTGGTATGTGATGTAATATCTGGTTTGGAGCCACATCCACTCCTGTCCTTTTGTCAAGAATCTATATTTACAAGATACACCCTCTCCAGTTGACATCACTGAAAATGAGTGAATTATGATTCCTTATTAAGCATAAGCATACCATAAGACTCAACATCATTATTAATTGATTAACAATTAATGTAATTATGTTATGGCATGACATTATGAAAATTTAGAGCAAGACAAGATCAGGGAATCAGGTTTATCAGAAAGTCAACATTTATAATGAATAAATATGTAATATATATAATGAACAAATTACAACCAGTCATATGTGTCAGCCATATTTTTTATTTATTTCAAAGATGTATATAGGAAATAAACAAGCAAGGTGCAAAATCTTCGAATATTATATGTTAAATTCTTTCATTCTTTCTTTCTTGTCATGAATTTTACTCTTTTAGGTAACATATACAAAATTAACCAATCAGTAAAATGTTTGATAAACATCATACTCACACTGTTCGTGATTTTTTCCTATCTTTAAGAGATCATCGGGGTGGTAATAATCGTACCCTGATGTACCAAGCACCTCAAATGGCAGATAGCCAATAATAGGAGGACCCCTGAAATCATCACAAATAAAGTAAAAAAGTAAATAAATAAAAAATTAACAGATTAGAACAATAATCTTATGACATTCATGTGAATCATATAATAGACTATTATGACAGCTATGAATTGCTTATATTCAATGACTGTATACTCCTCTATTCTTTTTAGTAGTTGTATCCATTTTACCCTTTCCATTCGTTCAACTACGCTTCTTAAATGAGAGATTCATCTTACTTTTAGCTAACTTCTACCCTCAGGGTAATTCATTAAGGGCCTTTTAAACTAAATATTTGCTCCCTGAAAGGGCATCCCAAACATCACTGGCCACATCATTTTATGGTCCTTTTAGGACTTGACAAGTTTTCTTTCATTTTAACCAGTATTTTTACATTTTTAGAATAATAAGTACTGCTAAGATGTCAAATGAAATAAAGAGTCCTAATTTGAGAACAATGCTCACCTATGGTCCAAGAATAGGAATTTCCACTCTAAGCTATGTCTGGATGTGAACTCATTACAAACATTATCAACATGTGACATCTCTCTAATTAGTTTAGAGTTGATGAGTCGTATAGTCGCACAGAAACATATGTTGTGCTTGTCTTCTTTATTGTACATTGAAGACACAGTAGACACATTGTCATCCAAATACAGATCTGGAAGTAAAGAGTTGAGTATTGTACACTGAAGACACAGTAGACACATTGTCATCCAAATACAGATCTGAAAGTAAAGAGTTGAGTATTGTACACTGAAGACACAGTAGACACATTGTCATCCAAATACAGATCTGGAAGTAAAGAGTTGAGTATTGTACACTGAAGACACAGTAGACACATTGTCATCCAAATACAGATCTGAAAGTAAAGAGTTGAGTATTGTACATTGAAGACACGGTAGACACATTGTCATCCAAATACAGATCTGGAAGTAAAGAGTTGAGTATTGTACACTGAAGACACAGTAGACACATTGTCATCCAAATACAGATCTGGAAGTCAAGAGTTGAGTATTGTACACCGAAGACACAGTAGACACATTGTCATCCAAATACAGATCTGAAAGTAAAGAGTTGAGTATTGTACATTGAAGACACGGTAGACACATTGTCATCCAAATACAGATCTGGAAGTAAAGAGTTGAGTATTGTACACTGAAGACACAGTAGACACATTGTCATCCAAATAGAGATCTGAAAGTAAAGAGTTGAGTATTGTACACTGAAGACACAGTAGACACATTGTCATCCAAATAGAGATCTGAAAGTAAAGAGTTGAGTATTGTAAATTGAAGACATAGTAGACACATTGTCATCCAAATAGAGATCTAAAAGTAAAGAGTTGAGTATTGTACATTGAAGACACGGTAGACACATTGTCATCCAAATAGAGATCTGAAAGTAAAGAGTTGAGTATTGTACATTGAAGACACGGTAGACACATTGTCATCCAAATACAGATCTGGAAGTAAAGAGTTGAGTATTGTACACTGAAGACACAGTAGACACATTGTCATCCAAATACAGATCTGGAAGTAAAGATTGAGTATTGTACACTGAAGACACAGTGGACACCTTGTCATCTAAATAGAGATCTGAAAGTACAATACAAACAACCCCACCACTAACAATTGCTTACCTGGCTCTGGGTTCCAATATCGGAAGCTTCCATTCACCTGGACCTGTTCATATACTATATCTTCATCTTTGTCAGTTTGTCTCTTCAGATGGCACGTGAACATCAACTGGTTCTCCTCTGAAAACATAACAATCATAAGTAGACTATTATCTCCCTTAATATCATATTAAGTTCATTGATGAGTCGACATAAAATTATTAAAGCTAAATAATAAAATAAATAGCGAGAAGAGTAATTGTGTCCTTTGGTCAGTAAGCATAGTCTACCTACAAACATGACAAGACCTTGTGATCCCCTCTACTGGACTACAAACCTTCTCACACAGGCTGTTGTAGTGGGGTGGGGGATCACAAGGGCTAGTAGCTAAACAGAATGGTGAGTCAAATCTATAAAAAGATTCTTGTAAATATCAAAGAGCCGACTGTTCCTACCTTCCTCAAAGTGTGACCTGGTGGAGTTGCTATTAAAGATCCTACGGTTTGTGAGGATGTTGTACAAATCAACTCTCTCATCTGGGTGTAGGAAATCATAGATTGACCTGTTGGACAAGTTGCTCTGGAAATGCAACACAACAAATTAGAATTAAGAAATATAGACCGAAGAGTAGGGGTAATATTGTCGAATACACCCTGCAGGGCTAGGCACAAACGTTATGACATCACACATTACACGTATTACCAGGGGTATTCTTCGCGAATATGCCCAGGGTGAAATGTTGATTTTGCTTACAGTTTATAGAAAGCGTTAATAGTCATGTTTGAATTCATGATCAATTTCATTTCTACAAATTTTAAAATGTATTTTGTGTAAATTGGATAAAAGTAGTTCTAATAAGAGCAATTGTAGTGAAAAATCTTGGGACAAATTATCTCATTATTCTGGCTTTCAAGGTCATTTCTAAGGTGATGAGAAATAAACATTCCTATGGAAGGACATGAGGCATACTCAAAGATGCTCTTTGTATTCAACTCAAAAATTAATGTAAAACATGTGCAGTACCAGACACTCATGTATATAATGTTTTACTTGTATTTGAATCGCAAATTAAGGTTGAACATTATGTGAATGTATGTGGCATTTGTAAAATGAAAATGTGAAAGAGTTTTTCTAAGTATTAAGTATTTTCTAAGTATTTTCTAAGTATTATAGTAGAGCTTTACTCACTGCTAAATGTCCAAGTAATGATGTTATACTTTCTGAGGCATAAAGTATATTACCAGCTTGTGTTATAGCCAGTATGAAGCCATCCAGGGCCTAAAACACACAATATGAACATGTATATTAGAAACATTACTCAATCTTCCATACTAACATGAATTAGAGATCACTATGGTCTATGGATCACTTTACTGTTAAGTGCAACACAGGTGGATATGGTTTTCTATCTCTTAGCTTGTATTCACGAATGCAAATAGCGACTTCCAGCTAGCGGGTTGATTGCAATTTGGCTGACTATTGAGGTGTTCAGAAATGTAAATAGTGGAAGTACAACGGGCACATGCGCATAGACATAAAACACATTTTAACTTTATTTTATCATGTGGCATGGCATAAAAAGTCATGTAATCACGGTCAGTCGACAACAGGTTGTTCGATATTGAAACTCCAAACTTACGGATAAAATTTTGCAAATCATCAGATTAATCCGGTAGCCGTTATTTGCATTCGCAAATACATGTACAAGCTTACTTAACATTATTCAGTGGGATAAATTTTATGCATTAAGAGCACTCAACCGGAAAACGAGGGGTTGTGGGTTCAATCCACACTGGGGTGGGCTGACTTTCTCACAAAAGCCCATAGCACAGAATTTCATTAACCAATATACATTTAAAGCTACTCACCTCTAACATTAGCTGAGTAAATTCATCATTTGTGAGGAATGATGGCTTCCAGATCTCTTTGATTTCATGGGCTTGAGACTGAAGAGATATGTCTGAAATTAAAGAAATAAGGATGACAAAGGTAAAGCACTTCGAAAAAGTGCCATAAAAAGTCTCGAATATTTCAACTGAATGGTTTGCTTGAAAACAGAGATTTATAAAGATTAAAAAATAATAGAAAGTGTGAAATGTTGGTAGGCAATCTTTTAAAAAGTGCATTTATATTGACCTATATTGAGCACTGTATTGATGTATGGGCCACTTATTACAGTCATAATTCAATCATGAAGTGTAGAGGCATAGGTTCCAAACCAAACCAAGTTGCCTTTAAAGCATTTTTCTAAAGCCATTTTGTAAGAGAAAAATGATGAAAAAATGTATTATCTTTTAATTTGAAGTATGACCTGATCGATTGCAAATTTCATTTTTGCACATCTGAAGTGATATACCATTTGTGTCATATTGTGAAGTTATTTAATTTGCAATCGATTCACAGGACTCTCACAAGGAAATATTAAGGGTGTGGTGCTAACATCTTCAGAATAACCGTTCAATCGGGATAAATCATATTTATGTTATGTTTTATCCTTTTTACATGCTATTATTGTATATTCAGTCAAGTTTAGACTTTGGAAACAGTCATGATTTGCCAATAGGATGTAGAGGGAGCTAAATAGAGTGTGGTGCTGCGCCACAGTCTAAAAGCCTGGCGAGAGCCCTGGATTCAGGTCATACTGTATTTTAGGTATTTTTGTGAAAATCATTAGAAACCAATGGAATCTGATGATATCCACATGTTAAGTCAATGGAGCACATCCAATGTCAAGTCAATAGACCCTTGCTGAACTTAATGACCTCAACCTCAGCCCATGTGGGTCCAAATGCTTAAATATTTTCCAAAGTATTATATGACATTGTTTTCTTTATGTTACACCTAAAATGATTCATTTTGTTCATGGGGAAATCAAAATGGAGAGTGCACTACTTCCTTTAGAGATTTAAAACAGCATCAATATAATCTTACCACTATGTTTGCGTAAAAACGCTATTGCACTTTTAAGAACTGTCGTTTTGTCCATTTTACGTGACGAGGATGTTGATACCATACTGCACAACTCATGGATGAGTTTGTTAAATTGGTCCCGCCTTTTTTTCTCACTGAGATTTCGACTCTTTCTGGAAGCATCACATAGAAATATTTTGGGATTACAAAGCAAGGAAATCAATTTGATAAATATTAAACATCTTATCAAAGCCATGTGAGAATTAATTTTAATTTTACACCTAAAATGTAGGTTTTAAATTTCTTATAGTTTTAGCATAGCCTTACAAATGTACCTTAATTGAAATATTCATTGAAATTATCAATGGAGATTTTATTGTTTACATCATGGAGATATAATGATGTGATACATATCATAAGGCCTTTATCTTTAAAAAGTTTGCAATTACATGCATGGTATGTGCATTCCAAGATTCTGGGAGGTGTTTGTAAGAGAGAACATTTAGAAGTGTGATATGACTCATGATATATTATTATTAGCGTATCCACTCGAGGCTATGTATTACATAATAACAATAAAGTACTCACCTTTTCCCTTTGTCATCATATTCGCTTTCATCATCACTGAAAAATGGAAAATATGTATAAAGTATTAAATCGTATAAAATGTTAACCACTAGCTATAACTTGATCAAACAGACAAATACCTCCACATTCAGGGTTAAATGAAGAATAAGAAGATTACAGTGCTTTCCCCAGGTTTTTTCTCAAATGGGTGCAAATTTTCAATTTTTCAAATTCAGACCAAACTGGGTTAATATATCTGTTTAATTTTTAGGTAAGTGCGAACTGTATACTTTCCTGAAAAAAGCAAAGAAATACACACATGCCTTTATACTTTATTTTGCACCAGAAAAGAACATGTGCAGGTATAGCAATTTTTTCAAAAATGTTTTCATTTAGAAGTACCTTAATGCCTTTGGTAGAACATGGGTCTCAAACATGATGAAAATGACATTTTCTGCAATTTTCAGACAATTTTAAAATGGTAGAGAATGGGCGTCAGAGAATGTGGTAGGAAGGTCTAAACGTCAACAGATTTATCTGAAATGTTTTGAGCTTGCTTTCCTCTACCAGGAAACCAACTGGGCAAAACTCCATCTTGATCCGGAAAAAAGTTGACACCGACATAATAATAATGATTGTGTGCAGGAAATTTCATGTTTTTTTCCAACAGGAGGGACATAATGATCAATAGACTGAATTCTCAGGAAATTCAGTCTATTGGATATAGACTAATCCCACCCTTATCCCGTGCCAGGACTATAGTCCTGCGAACGTCTTATTCTTTTGCCTGTACGATTACAACATGGGAGAATTTTCTACACTTCTTACACTTAAGATACCTATTTCAATAGATTCCTTGGTATTTTAGCATTCTTTTCGTGTAGTTGAATCCACAATTGTCTGGGTTTATCGGCAGAACAAAGAAATTTGCGTTTTTAATCACAATATTTGCGTGTAATATTTATATATTTCAACCATCAAATTCCTCCATTTATTGGTGCTTCCGGGCCACTTCCGGGTCAGTCAAATGGGGAATCCCCTTTTAAATCCAACCGCCATCTTGGAAAGTGATGGAATATCGGACGCCTGTAAATCCTATACGCCATATGGTATATTATTGATGTTTGACCAATCAGATTTCAGCATTTGGTTCAGCCCTTGTCAGAGAAACATTTTGTGATTGGTCAAACATCAATAATATACCATATGCCGTATAGGATTTACCATTCACCATGGAATATCTCTCGATGAAAAAGAAAAATGTTTCCATTCTGCCAATATACTTTCAACTATACGAAAAGAATGCTAAAATAACCAGGAAGCTATTGAAGTAGGTATTTTAAGTGTAAGGGGCGTAGATAATTCTCCCAAGTTGTAATCGTACAGGCAAAAGATTGCGCTAAATGCAGGACTATAGTCCTGGCACAGGATAAATCCCACCCCATTATTCGAGTAGGCCCTCTTCAAATCTATCACTATAACAATAAAACCAAAGTTTAGTGGGAATGAAGGCTTAATTTAACAAGAACACAAATGTGTACAATATGTCCCCACCTTTGGGTGATCCTGTCAAATGGTTATCCTAAAAATGAGTAGACAAGACTTTACCGAGACAATATGAGGACGGAGAATCCAAAATGGCCACCTTAAAATTTACCAAGAATGCCAAAAAATTAGTCAGTTCTAGATTTTCAGACTAAGAACCACACCTGAAAATTTGAAATTGATCCGTCACACAGTTAACCAGAAAACATGTAAACAAGACTTTACAGACAAGATTTTATGGACAGAAAATCCAAAATGGCTGCCTTGACATTTATCCAGAAAGCCAAAAACTAATCTGTTCTAGATTTTCATTCTAAGAATCATCCCTGAAAATTTGAAATTGATCTACCAAATGGTTCACATGGAAATGTGTAGACAAGACTTTACAGACCAGATTTTAGGACAGAAAATCCAAAATGGCTGCCTTGACATTTATCCAGAATGCTGTAAAAATAATCAGATCTAGATTTTCATACTGAGAATCATCCCTGAAAATTTGAAATTGATCTACCAAACGGTTCACCTGAAAATGCGTAGACAAGACTTTACAGACACGATTTTAGGACGGAAAATCCAAAATGGCTACCTTGACATTTACCCAGAATGCCCAAAAACTAATCAGATCTAGATTCTCATACTAAGCATCATCCCTGAAAATTTGAAATTGATCTACCAAACGGTTCACCTGAAAACGCGTAGACAAGACTTTACAGACAAGATTGTAGGACGGAAAAATCCAAAATGGCCGTCTATAAAAAAGTGATTATGAGTTTTTACTGAAATCTTTTTACAAAATTATCACATATAACTACTGTTAACAATAACATAAGCTTTTACAACAAAGTACACCTGAAATTATTTATAAAGCTACTAAAAAGTTAAAGTATGAAAACTGAAAAACACCATTCAATATGATACAAAGTATTATCGTGCGCTAACTTTTCTTAAAACATTCAAAATGGCTGACATGACTGAGCTAACAGGTCCAAAACCTAATCAGATCTAGAATGAAGTGAGCCGAACAAGATTTTAAGTTTTAAAAGCAACTGTGAAGCTGTTTTTCTTAAAGTTTGCAGACAAGGATTTTAGCATTTGACTTCAAAATGGCCGACAGGAAGTAGGTATTGAGTTAATTTTTTTTATCCACATCTGTATGCACTCATAAGTTATCCCTGAAAATTTGAAGGTGATATCTGTAGCGGTTTTGGAGAAAACTGCGGGACGTACGGACGGACAGACAGACAGACGGACAGACGCGCCTAGGCCAACAATATGGCCCCACACTATGTGGTGGGGACATAAAAAGCACATTGTCCCAAATGAACAATATTATCACGGACGTCAAGCAAGTTTCTAGCGAAAGCCGAAGCATAGATTATTTAAGAGGACTGGAAACAAGAATGACCTACCTTTTTATTTCCCGAATCTTGCTAAAATTACCTCATCTTGGTGACTGTAACCTGTATATCTGTATTAATAGAGTCTCTTTGTATCGCATCTGCCTCAATTTTAAAGTTTTATTGGTATTTTTAATATGATTTCACTGTTTTTGTGGACTGGACGATTCAGCCAAGCAAATGGCAGCTGACCTGTTCAAAGTACTTTTAGTACTAATTATCGCAAATGACAATAATTTTGGAAACAATATTATACTTTAGAGTTGTTAACTGTTAAAAATAATAAGAAGATAACTTCGACATATGAGTGTTACCTGATGAATGGGACCCTCACGTGCCTTCCAAATGGTAGTACACGAACTCTAGTGTAACTACATCAGCTAATCTTTCTGTCCGATCAACAATAAGTACAGTTATACAAGAAATGTAAATGAAGTGGAAATATTCCCAAAAATTTTCCGAAAGGCATATCATTAATGATACGTTATATTACCAAACATGCGTGAAAATGTTCGTTCATTTTATGAGAGCTAAATAAAATGAGAACATCCAAGCATCGGGTATGACTCCACCATTGTTTGCCGTTTTACTACTTGCAACAATCAACCTCACTGCCAGCATATCAAACAAGGCCCATTTTCCATCAAACTTGGTCCAACTACTATCAGGCGGATGTCCTTGAAAAATCAAGTTGACAAGGTTACCAAAGCCTAATAGTTGCCATGGCAACCATAGAAATGAGCTAAAAAATGAGAGCAAAAAAGCACCCAAACCCACCATAATGGCACTAAATTATAAAATATTTCTAGATATACACATTTTCTTAAACTTTGATATTATCTAGAACACTTCTAGACAACAAAAATGTCACAAATTGGGGGTAGGTTTACCACTTCGATTTTTTTCTAGGCTTGGTCAAAACTACAAAAAGCACTAATTTTTACTTTTGAATCACCTATTATCGCCATAATGGCTATACTTTTTCAAGGTCAAGGTCGCCATGCTAAAAGTTGAATTACGGAGATAAATCTGCTCTTCAGACAATGTTTGATAGCTTTTCTTCACCACGGAACAAAGATCTTTGCGCTGGTATGCCCATTTCCATGAGATAATATACGTGAAGGAGGAACTGTGTCTTTAAATGTCATCAAAACTTTATGCCAACACGTGAAAAAGCCATTTTCGCACTACTTTTGGTGTAATAATGCCATCGAAAACATTCCATTTTCACCCATGTTCGGTAATAAAGGTGTTATTACGGTAAATACCACTTCCGGGTAGGAAGTGTTTTTTAATACTTTAAAAACGAACCCATGCCAACTTCAATGGTGTGTATAGTAGGTTTAAGTGTATGTACTATGGCCATTTGAGGTATGTATGTAAAGCTGACTGCCAAGTACTTTCTAAATGTGCCATTTTTAGAAAAAAATCTCAAGGATATGATCCCGTAAACAGGAACTACTTTATTCGTTAATTTTCATCGTTGAAGCAGGGATTTTACCTAAAAATGAGTCCCTATGTTGGCGTAGGGATATTTAAAAATTGAGACGCAAACCCTATGTTAAATATAGTGTCAAGATGAAGGTTATGTATAGGATATTGCAGAAATATAGTCATTGTATAGGCTAATTCGTTCGAAAATGGCAATATGTACCCCTGAAGGTGTGAGTATCGTAATCCAACACCAAATTCGAAAATTCACAACAATACTTTGCACATATGGCGTTCGTGATCAACTATAAAATGCTTACCCCCCCCATAGTGTTATATATCAAAATGTACCTGTTCATATAAGGGTTCGATTGATCTACATCAAATTATAGGGAGTCAGCTTACTTTTTGAGATATCAGCGTCCATTTATTGTAACTCGCGTTTGCTACCATTTCCTCATTTCTGAGATGACGGGCAAACGCGTAGTTAACATGCTCACGCCGGAACTATTTTGACCTACATAGCTATTTTCGTAATTCAAATGAAAGTTGAACTCCTCCTCTTTATTTTGATACCAAATAGTGGCATACTAGGTGCCCTAGAAGCCAACTATGGCGTTATTTAGAACAAAACCACAAATTTGTAAACGGACTTTATGGAGTCATACCTTTTAGGGGATGGATATGGAACCTCACACCAGAACTTGAATTTTGTGATTTTTTTCAATATTTTTCAATGATTTACTGAAGTGACACCATAACGTATCATAACTTCCGGAATGACATGCCTTTTGGAAAATCTTTGGGAATATTTTCACTTCATTTACATTTCTTGTATAACTGTACTTATTGTTGATCGGACGGAAAGATAAGCTGATGTAGTAACACTAGAGTCCATTTCACTGCTTTATTTTGTCAGTAGAACGGCAAAAATAAGAAATTGGGAGACCATTGTGCAATAATATATGGAAAAGTCTATTCATAATGTACATGAATGACATTTAGATATCTTGGATTGTTTCTAGTTTGGCTTATAAAGCGTGTGGCCTCTTATATTTCGATGTTTCTCTGCCATGTTATTTTCAATAAGATTAACATGGCTGAAATTCTTCAAATTACAAGACGGCACAGGCTTATTGCACCAAAAACTAAAAAATCTGAAATATACAAATGTCATTCATGTACATTATGAATATACTTTTCCATATATTATTGCACAATGGTCTCCCAATTTCTTATTTTTGCCGTTCTACTGACGAAATGAAGCAGTGAAATGGACTCGAGAGTTCGTGTACTACCATTTGGAAGGTACGTGAGGGTCCCATTCATCAGGTAACATTCATATGTCGAAGTTAGGTTCTTATTATTTTTAACAGTTAACAGACTCTAAATAGATTACTACTACTTTTTTCAAGGCCTGACTGCGTCGCTAACATGCTAAATATAAGAGTTAGCTGACGTTTGGGAGTCTGACTTACCTTCTAAAGGTTAGAACCCGAATCTTAATGAAACCATATCACCTTTGTTCCGTCAACCATGGAGCATTTGCCACAACATCCAAGAGGTAAATCATGGATCGAGAAAATGAATGATTTCCTTGTAAGTTCCGGAAGTTTCAATACGAAAAATTACCGAACATATGTGAAAACCGAATATTTGTTCGTTGTTTTCATGATTTACAGGTTCGTTTGTTCTTCAATGTTTTGGTCTAAATTATAAAGCATCACCAACAGGTCTTACTCTATTAATCGACTAATACAGCAGACGGCTCATATTTCTACGTAGCATTTCATTCAGACCAATAGTGGGAGTGTAGATCACGCAGTTTCGTTCGTTGCGTACTTCACTTGAAATTGGTAATTTTAAATATTGACTACTTCACTTAGCTTGGCGGATGTAGAATATTGCTTAATATTCTTTTAATTTTCACACCAGACATGCTTGGTTGACACGTCAACAAAGTAAAGTTCAAGGGTCAATGCGTTATTTCGTGATAACTACAACGCCTTCCTGGAAGTCAACATTGATGAAAAATGAAAAAGTCGGAAAAGCATTTACGCTAATTTCTATCAAATGCTATGTTTATGCATCATCATCGACGCAACAAAGGTGATATGGTTTCATTAAGATTCGGGTTCTAACCTTTAGAAGGTAAGTCAGACTCCCAAACGTCAGCTAACTCTTATATTTAGCATGTTAGCGACGCAGTCAGGCCTTGAAAAAAGTAGTAAGCATCTAAGGTAAGCAGTAAGTAAAACTAGATGAACAACTGAGTCAATAGTGATAAAAAGGCCAACACGAGTTGGCAGATTTGAAATAGGCTGCCATCTTGTTTCCAGTCCTCTTTATATTCTATGCTCCAGCTTTCGCCAGAAACTTACTCGACGTCCGTGAATATTATGAAAAATAATAAAATCAATTTATCAAATGAAAAAAATAAAAAACGAAATGAAAAAATATTATGAAACCTTACCACATATTGGTACCGTTAGGATAATGTTTACCCGACATTTGGTGTCGAACAATTTCTAAAACTCAGGTTCATCCATTGCAATTGGTGGTTAGTTTCGATATACCTTCTACTATGGAAAAATATAGCAAAATAATGCGAGATAATTTTCAGGCGATTTGTCAGCCATCTTAATTATTCGTTGCAGTCGAAATACGAACGTCTGTAATTGTTAAAACTTAATGTACGTTCGCTTTTTATGATAGTGATATTTACAGAAGAGTTGATCATTGTTTACAGCATCCTCTCTATTTCATACAGTATGATAACCAAAATAATATGTTATAGGATTCAAACAATCCGAAAATTGAGTAATGATGACATTCCAGATACTCTTTCGTATTATGTTTTGCCTGAGGGCTCCTGAGAGAATGGTGCAGGAATCGGGCTGGCAATACCTTTCTAATGTGCTCAATGGTCGAATGGTCATAAAATCACCATGGAAAGTCGATCTTTTAAATCTTGACACAACTCATTCTCACTTTCTACTAATGTAAATGTTATTTTTCTCGAACGATATATAGAGTACAAAGGATTGGTATCGATATGGTGAACTGAATTCAACAATGTTTTTCTCAGTCTAAACCAGTCAGGCCATAAGAAGTAAATTCTTTGTTTTGCGTCCTCTTGCTTGCACGATTTTGAGTAAATCAGAAAAAACACATCCAAATAGCAATCATAAGCAAGGGTCTGGTGCATTTAGTCTTTTAGCATTTCGGAATCAGAAATGACAGACAATTTGATGTGGGTCAAAATTTACAGTGTTATTGATTACTTATTGATTACGCATTTTCTTATTTTTGGTTACCTTTGAATAGCCTAATAGCTATGTTTATATATATTGTACATGATGTATGGATATGTGTTTGTAATCACTGCAAATTGGTATGTCATGCCTTTTTATGCCCATAAAATGTATACATTTCTAATGCGTTTGTGTATTTTCCTGAGTTTGTGTTTGTTTTCCTTGTGCCCTTGCATGAATCTTAATACTTCTTATGGCCTTATTGAAAACATTCTGTAAAAAACAAGGTCCTTTATGTAATGTTGACTGATTGACAACAATTTAATGCAAAATACCACGTGCAGTATGGCAAATGATTTTAGACGGTCATATCTTTCACCATGAGTACTTTCTGAGCATAAATACAGTGTTTTTTTGTTAAGACAATATGTTTTCTTTCAAGTGAAGTAACTATGATGATAAAAATATATTTAGATATTGAGCATATCCAGTTTTGACACTTCAATTGTGTTGGGACAATTATACATATTTCAGTCAAATTGATGCGGAGCACAACATTTGGTTTCAATTTAATAGTCTCTATACACGACCCTGGTGCCTGAAGAGTCCGAATCAATCAAAAACCTAAACCAGAAAACTGCTCATTGTGAGAATTAAAAGTGAAGCTACTTTTTTCTGATATTTCTAACAAAGAATGGCAGCCGTTCCCCCCTTCAAATAAAACTGGCGGGAAATTCAAAAATTTGAAAAAAAATTAAATCCTAAGATATTTAAAAAATATGATTTTCTTCATGGGTCTGTAAGTTATTTCTTCTTTATGTCATACATGTGGATATTGGCGTTTTTCTATAATAATGATTATTTGTTTTCTGTTAGAATACTTATTTTGACTCTCAGCAGGGGGGGGGGGGGGGGGGGGTGTCGTACACAAAGATTTGAATGGTGCATTAATCTTTATCTTTTCCATCTTGCATCATTCACCAAGCAGTAAGAAAAATAACAGGTTATCCAATTCCATTGCACTTTATTTTCATCAGAGACAAACATCACATATATATTTTCACTATTTACACTTTTTATGATGCGATTTGCAATTGAGTTCCTCGTAAAAATTATTGATAAAAATGAATAATAATGAAATACATTTTTCAGAATTAATTCTAACATATGTTCCTGTTCACAGACCAGCGCAATATACAAATAAGTAACTGATATTCTAATAACAGCAATGAAAGGTCATTAAACACAATTGTAAAGCTTCATTACAAAATCATAGACAAAGAATGATAGAGATGCCTGTAGAAAGCCTTTTTAGCTTGGCTACTCTAGGATCTGTTATTCTTAGATTTATTATAGTCGATAACTGGATCTTAGAGATGTTTCGATAAAGGATGTTTCGACAAAGGTTGTTTTGAAAACGCATACCTAAACTTGTAATTTAAAGGGTCTTGTCACACTTAAACCAATTTGAAATTGATTTTCATGAATTACTCCCAGTGGACATAAATAGTTTCCGTGTTGTTTACTCCTCAATTATTGATTGCAAATCGTTGTAATCTGTACATTATCAACTCAATATCTAGCTCTTGTGGCTTGTTCTACAACAAGACCCTTTAACGTGGTTCATTACATGAACGAGTGAATAATTTCACAGTCCGTATAAAAGTTTGAGTTGAGAAGGTTTGAACGTATGAAAAGCATACAAGGTGATGGTAAACTTATAAAATTTGATCTGCACGTAAACCATAACATCGACCAAGTGACCGTGCGCTATATCTAACGTTGATGAGCTGAATATGTAATGTATTAGATCAAACATGCTGACTTCAATTTTGATAAACAAATCAATCTAATCTGTGTTAGCGATGTATGGAGCAAGCCCTTTGCATTGGCTGCATAACATACTCTCCCACCAGTATTTGTACAGGGTGTTTCATTATGCCAATCTCCAAGGTCAATTTGAGGTAAAAAAGTCATATAATGTGTATATCATATAGGAACCTAGTATTTTATTTAAGACCAAGATATTTGACTCTTATGACAATAAATACAGTTTAGAAGTTACAAATGGTATATCCATTTGAGCTACATTCGGAGATTATTTACTTTTGGTCCACGTTTTGTAACACCCTCAATAGCGAGAGGCGAGCAAGTCATGATAAAGCACTGAGGAGGAACTGGAAACGAAGATAGGTTCTTTTATCTTTACAATATTTGGCAAGTTTCTATTTCCGGTTTCAAAACAAATAGTACTAGGATTTCAACTTCGACAGTGATACTGTAATTGGTAAGATATTTACAAATCAATTCCCACTATTAGGAAACGAGGGAAAGTGCTTTCCTAGTTTCTTCGAGAAATGTTCCTCCACAGTGGGGGTTTCGTCATTTAAAATTTGAAGTTGCAATAGTAAATTCGCCTGAAAACTTATATTGAAACCTCTCTAGTATTAACCAATTAAAGTATAAAACGTATTAATAATACAGAGCTTTTGATATAAGTCTCACTTTACTTAACCTTTGAGTGACATATATACCAGAAATGATGATGCAGTTTACAGTTCTGATACATGTTCCAGTTCTAAATTCTCTATTTAAGTCATCGTCTTTGTTTTGGGAGTGGTGTATTGTCAACGAAATTGTGGTTAACTCTCCTCCTATAATGCCCTGCATATTAGGCGCAGCATTCACCGTCGCAACCTAATATACAAGTTCATTGTTCATGAAATCTACGACATTTGGTGCATTATTTGGACCACCCAGCCCTTCTGTGGCGTGAAGTATTGCTCCACCCTATCCTGGCAGAGGAGTTTCTCACTCGGAGTATATTGCACTCCCGGCTTTTCCAAAAGTATTGGCACCATTTCCACCAATGACCACACTGAAAGAATAATAAATACACGTTTCTATAAATTCGGAAAGAGTGAATTCAGAAGAACTGTAGAAACTATGTAAGTGGAACACACTTTAAACCACTTAAAGAGGTTCATTAACATGGAATGTTACACTCCTGTGAGATGTTCCACTCAACATGTTCTACTGTTATCATAACAAAAATAGTATAACATCTTAATAAATGGCTATAATTCTCATAAAGTACTAATAAAACCAATTCATTTTTATATTAATTTTATATTTACTGCATATTGAGTAAATGCAGCACTTAATCAATGCAACATCATACCTGTAATCTTCCATCTTTCCAACCGAGGGTTAATTTTTTTCTTTTCCTCTCTAGAAGATTAGGAATTTCTTGAACTTCTTCAATACAACTGTCAAACCAGCCTAAGAACACCACAGTCAGCCACTAGAACAAAGTAAATAAACCAAATATTTCATATTTATTACTAGTACAGGGTGTCCCGAAAGTATGCCCCCCTAGGCAGATATACACCAATGTTCCCATAGTATGTGTCATATATCATTTTAAAGCTTATCCAAAGTTACATTGATTTGCCAAGTATCATCGTTCAACTTACAAATGGGAAAAAGTTACAGGCATTTCGAAACTTAGTGTTTGGCCAAAATTAAAGTTAAAATCAGTATCCTGGAAATACCGCTAACCTGAATGTGACCAAAAATATGGGTGCTATCCTCAACGAGAGGATGGATATTGAGTTGTAGAAAGTGGTCAGTAAGCAGATACTCCAACGAAACTCTTCTAAAATGCCTAAAAAAGGTTTTATGAGGATTATAAAATGCCATAACCCTATTTTAAGTGAATTTAAAGTCATATCTGGAAAGAAATGCTGCTGTTAACGTGGCCAAGGGAGACACGGCGACTATTAATTTTGTGTAAAACTAATTTTGGTAAAACACTACATTTTGAAATGCGTGTAACATTTTCCCGTTTGTGAGTTGAACCATCATACTTGGCAAATCAATGTAACTTTGGACAAGCCTTAAAATGATTTCCAAGCTGAAAGGGACCCTGAAAACGGAGGAACTAAACTGATGTAATAATTGAATAGAAAAAGTACTTACTTTGGTGCTTTGGTTACAGTAACACGAACAACTCTCGCCCATGATACTGTTTACGTGGACCGGACCTGATGGCTCAAAGTTGTCGAAAGACTGATCCAGCTGTCGCCCTAACTTGGTGTGTTTGCTGCATCTCTCTCATAGTTGTACCTGAAAGATACAAGATAAGAAAATAAAAAATACAAGAATGCAACTTGGTCGAGTCACTTCCAATACAAGCGGAGGAGGGAATGCCAAGTACATTAAGTGAAATCAAGGCAGTCATCATTTAGTGTATTTCTTAGAAAAAATGTTTGCCAAACATACATGTGCCGACAATGGGATAAGAATACCAACAATTGAAAAATGTGTCATTGTGGAAGAACCGTACTGAACCAGAGAGCAAAATCATCAAATGATAGAACTGATTATGTGTTACAGTACCTTTAACAAGATGGTATGTAGATATAAATGCTGCAGATAGGTAGCACAAATTGCAGATTCTCTGTGGTTTTCCTTTTGTGTTTCTTTTTGTTCTCTCCAAGGC